ATGGCGATAATTTAAACTTACTAAACAAATATTAGATGAATACAATGTTGCGTTGTTTAAATTTTATCAAAAAATAAATTAGATAAAACTAATGACGAATAGCAACACATAAATATAAATATTTGCTGAAGACAAAATATCGACGCTTTTTTTTTATCTTTGTTATACAAATATTTGTTGAAGACAAGAAGACAAGATTAAATTGTTTTTAACTTTATCATAAAAACATTTCTTAACTACAATTTTTTTTTTTAAATTTATCATATCAATATGTGTTAACGACAAAATGGCAATGTTACCACGGTTTTCATGTTACGATGGTAGTTATAACGAGTTTTAAACAATAACTTAAATGTTATATAGTTCATGGTAAACAATTAATAATGACTAAATTTTGAAATTAAACAAATATTATAAACATAAACAAGTAAAATGGCAGGACTGAAGTAGTTCCAATGTGTTGCCTTATTACTGAGAAGCATAAAAGCCGAGGAGATTCGATTGAATGCGACTTGTTCTTTACAGGCTTTGGATCAAATGGTTCTCTAGTGTTTGAAGGGAAACTGATTTCACCAACTAGGTAACTGTGACATTAACGTTAGAGCAAACAAGCTCAAAGCAAGAGAGGTCTTATTATCAATGAGGATCATCATCCTATGAAGTTTGAAGGTTATTATTGAAAACATCGTCTATGTTTTAACCTTAACGAGTTTACTGCGATCTTAAACTATCTTCGAACAAAAAACAAAAGGTGCCTTTTCCTTAATGAGGGTGGTCAGTAGAGTCATTTGACCCATAGCCTTACAAAACCTTAAGGTCCACTTCTAAGGCTAGGTGTCCAATGGTTCTCTAGTGTTTGGGCTCAAACAAAGTGCTCTACTGACTAACATTTGGAAAGAAAAATACAAATAGTAACTGTTAAAGATACTTTATATCCTACATACATGGTAAATATGCACGCACCGATATGAGACAATTACAGGTGGTGGATTCACGCACGGATATCAGACAATTACAGGTGGTGGATGCACGCACGGATATGAGACAATTACAGGTGATAGATGCACGCACGGATATGAGACAATTACAGGTGGTAGATGCACGCACGGATATGAGACAATTACAGGTGGTGGATGCACGCACGGATATCAGACAATTACAGGTGGTAGATGCACGCACAGATATCAGACAATTACAGGTGGTTGATGCACGCACAGATATCAGACAATTACAGGTGGTAGATGCACGAACGGATATCAGACAATTACAGGTGGTAGATGCACGCACAGATATCAGACAATAACAGGTGGAAGATGCACGCACGGATATGAGACAATTACAGGTGGTAGATGCACGCACGGATATGAGACAATTACAGGTGGTGGATGCACGCACGGATATGAGACAATTTCAGGTGGTAGATGCACGCACGGATATCAGACAATTACAGGTGGTGGATGCACGCACGGATATGAGACAATTACAGGTGGTGGACGCTCTCACAGATATCAGACAATAACAGGTGGAAGATGCACGCACGGATATCAGACAAATACAGGTGGTAAACGCACGCACAATAATCAGACAACAACAGGAAGATGTACGTAAGGATATCAGACAATTACAGGTGGTGGATGCACGCACGGATATTCGTATGTGGAATACACACGCATGGATATCGGACAATTACATATGGGCGATGCACGCATATCAGACAATCACATGGGGCGATGTACACATGAAGGACGGATATAAGACAATCACATGGGGCGATGCACACATGAAGGACGGATATCAGACAATCACATGGGGCGATGCACACATGAAGGACGGATATAAGACAATCACATGGGGCGATGCACACATGAAAGACGGATATAAGACAATCACATGGGGCGATGCACACATGAAGGACGGATATAAGACAATCACATGGGGCGATGCACACATGAAGGACGGATATAAGACAATCACATGGGGCGATGCACACATGAAGGACGGATATAAGACAATCACATGTCTGAACACTTTATTTCACAAGATTCCATTCATAATTATAGTACAAGACTTAGTCAAAAGGGTGGATATTGTCTACCTAAGGTCAAAGGCCAGGGTTCTAAATCCTTTGCTTTCTCTGGTATTAAATTATGGAATGATTTACCTGTAAAGTTAACGGAGATCAACAGGTTACAAAATTTTAAGGTTGCCATCAAAGTCATCTTATGAACAGTATTCAAAAAAAAATTTTTAAACATGTTTTTACATATTTCGGCTCAGGATTTTAAATTGTCTGCTATTTATCTTATTAAAATTTTAGTAATGTGTTTTAAATCCTAGCTGTAAACAGGAGTATCATTAACTCAAGATTTGACTGTGATATACATTTTTATGATTTATTAGTTTTTTTTAAACATGATTATATTTAGGTTTGCCTCTCTATGTCATGCCGCCAATACAAAGGACCACAATGGAAATAAGAGCTTTTTTGCCCTTTTTTGTGTTATCCTTGGTTTTGGTGAGCATGTCATAGTTTTACTCGTATGTGATATAGTATTTAAAAATGCTCATTATTTTATCCTATGTTATATTGTCAACTATGTATATGCTTCCTTTGCCGAAATAAATCTATCTATCTATGTGGGCGATGCACGCATGGACGCTTTTCAGTCAATCACATGTGGGCGATGCACGCATGCAGGACGGATATCAGTCAATCACAGGTGTTGGATGCACGCATGGACGCTTATCAATCAATCACATGTGGGCGTTGCACGCATGGAGAACGGATATAAGACAATCACATGTGTGCGATGCACGCATGGACGTTCATCAGTCAATCACATGTGAGCGATGCACGCATTGACGCTTATCACTCAATCACATAAATGGCGATGCACGCATGGAGGACGGATATAAGTCAATCACAGGAGTTGGATGGATGCATGGAGGACGGATATCAGAATGTCACAGGTGGGCGATGCACGCATGGAGGACGGATATCAGTCAATCACATGTGGGCGATGCACGCATGGAGGACGGATATCAGTCAATCACAGGAGTTGGATGGATGCATGGAGGACGGATATCAGAATGTCACAGGTGGGCGATGCACGCATGGAGGACGGATATCAGACAATTACATGTGGGCGAATGCACGCATGGGGGACGGATATCAGTCAATTACATGTGGTGGATGCACGCATGAAGGACGGATATCAGTCAATTACATGCGGGCGATGCACGCATGGAGGACGGATATCAGACAATCACATGTGGGTGATGCACGCATGAAGGACGAATATCAGTCAATTACATGTGGTGGATGCAGGCATGGGGGACGGATATCAGTCAATTACATGTGGTGGATGCACGCATGAAGGACGGATATCAGACAATTACATGTGGTGGATGCACGCATGGGGGACGGATATCAGTCAATTACATGTGGTGGATGCACGCATGAAGGACGAATATCAGTCAATTACATGTGGTGGATGCACGCATGAAGGACGAATATCAGTCAATTACATGTGGTGGATGCACGCATGAAGGACGGATATCAGACAATCACAAGTGGTGGATGCACGCATGGGGGACGGATATCACACAATTACATGTGGGTGATGCACGCATGAAGGACGAATATCAGTCAATTACATGGGGCGATGCACGCATGGAGGACGGATTTCAGTCAATCACATGTGGGCGATGCACGCATGGACGGATATCAGACAATCACATGGGGTGATGCACAGATGAAGGACGGATATAAGACAATCACATGTGTGCGATGCACGCATGGACGTTTATCAGTCAATCACATGTGAGCGATGCACGCATGGACGCTTATCACTTAATCATATAAATTGCGATGCACGCTTGGAGGACGGATATCAGTCAATCACATTTGGGTGATGCACGCATGGAGGACGGATATCAGAAAGTCACAGGTGGGCGATGCACGCATGGACGCATATCAGTCAATCACATGTGGGCGATGCACGCATGGCGCATATCAGTCAATCACATGAGGGCGATGCACGCATGAAGGACAGATATCAGTCAATCACATGTGAGCGATGCACGCATGGCGCTTATCAGTCAATCACATGAGGGCGATGTACGCATGAAGGACGGATATAAGACAATCACATGTCTGAACACTTTATTTCACAAGATTCCATTCATAATTATAGTACAAGACAAGAGTCAATCACAGGTGTTGGATGCATGCATGGAGGACGGATATCAGACAATCACATGTGGGCGATGCACGCATGAAGGACGGATATCAGTCAATCACAGGTGTTGGATGCACGCATGGAGGACGTACGGATATAAGACAATCACATGTGGTTGATGCACGCATGGAGGACGGATATCAGTCAATCACATGTGTTGGATGCACGCATGATGGACGGATATCAGTCAATCACATGTGGTGGATGCACGCATGGAGGACGGATATCACACAATCACATGTGTGCGATGCACGCATGGAGGACGGATATCAGTCAATCACATGTGAGCGATGCACGCATGATGGACGGATATCAGTCAATCACAGGTGTTGGATGCACGCATGGAGGACGGATATCAGAAAACCACATGTGGGCGATGCACGCATGAAGGACGGATATTAGACAATCACATGTGGGTGATGCACGCATGGAGGACGGATATCACACAATCACATGGGGCGATGCACGCATGAAGGACGGATATCACACAATCACATGTGGGCGATGCACGCATGGAGGACGGATATCACACACTCACATATGGGTGATGCACGCATGGAGGACGGATATCAGACAATTACATGTGGGTGATGCACGCATGAAGGACGGATATCACACAATCACATATGGGTGATGCACACATGAAGGACGGATATCACACAATCACATGTGGGCGATGCACGCATGAAGGACGGATATCAGTCAATTACATGTGGTGGATGCACTCACGGAACACCAGGAAAGAAAAAGAAAATCTAGTCCGAATACCTTGATATAATTTATCATACATTGATAATACACTCATAACACTCATAACATACACATTCAAATACATAGCAAATAGGATTACTTTAAAGCGATGTCTACATCCCAATCTTGTGTCACTTGACCTGACTTATATCACTCTAGCAATGATAATCACGGCTAAAACATCATACATTAAAAAAGTAAACAGTTCAGGAAGTGATGTCACAAAGTTGAAGAAAAATAGAGTTATTGTGACTTTTTTATTCTTGCTGTCCATAGCATGTAGCTATGTGTCATCTGTCTTAGACAGATGGTCTCACTGAATTTCAAATAATATGTCATTCTTTGTTGATTTTCTTGGTTTGAAAATAAACTATATCACCGATACTTCAAGTATTTGTTTCTCACATACAACTGTAGTTCACATATTCATTTATTTATTTTATATTGAAGATGTGAATATAATTGTCACCATGGCAACCAACGATGAGTCGGTCCTTCTTCTGACTCACAGCAACAGCGAGTGGTTTTTCTATATCAGAGGCAATTTTCTTCAAACTGCCATAATCTTGAGCAGAGCTTTCATACACACATCTAAATGATGGTGAACAAGCGTATAAATTAGCGGCCTTGTCAACATAAAGTCCTCTTAGGTCAATGGAGCAATCTTTGTTAGCATTCAATGTTCGCACGACCTCAAGACTTTCAAAATTCGTCCTATGGTAGATGATAATCCCAACATATTTATTTGCTACTATTATCTCAGTTCCAATTGTGCAAATACTGAAATAATCATTTTCAAATTCGTCTTCTTCAGTTTTAAATATGTTTGCTTCAAGAAGAACCTTGCAATCATTGTCTCTTCTTATTTGTATATAGATTTGGCTTGCATTACTTCCGTCAGCCTTGCATAGAACTGCATAAAACTCTTCATCCTTAGTAATTGCTACATTACAAAATTTGGTTTTCCAGCTACGTTCAAGCTTTGCCGTTTTCCCATCGATTGTAAATCTCTCAATGAGTTTCACGTCTTTATAGACTAAAGAAAATGTCTTTGGGCCAACTTTGCATAAATCAACTGGTTCGGCTTCAAGCGCGTGAACAAAGATTAGTTTGAAATCACCAGAACTGAAAACCTTTATTTTTCTATTGACCTGGTCTATCACCACGAGTCTGCCATCTTGAAATATTATAATTCCACTAATACAACAATCATTTGCATCGTCAGGAGATCTTGCTGTAAAGATCTTTTTCGTCTTTTTCTTTCTTCGCGCTTTATTAGCGTCCTTTGTCGGTGGCTTTCCATTTGTCTTTCCGGCTTTGTCCCCCTTTTTGGAGACACACGTTTGCGAATCAATGATTTCATCGCTTGAGGCTTCGATACCGGCAATTTGTGTATCATTTGCTAAATCATTTTGGCAACATGTCAGGTGTCCGAGACTTTTCAATTTAAAAAGTGATTTATTTGGCTTGAATTTCAAATGCACGTCATCTTTTTGTTGTTGTTCATCAAGAACGTTGTTGATAACTGCAAGTTTCTGCTGTATATCGACCGTGACAATATCAAGGTCTGTACAGCTGAAATGTTCTTTGACAGTATTTAGGAGCTTTTCAAACACTTTTCGTTGGTTCTGCAGCTGTTCACAAATATCCACATCATTTTTCATAACAGCGAGCTGCGCATGCGTTAGATTCTCGGATCGAATTATAACATCTTGCTCAAGAAGTGTCAGGTTTTGCTGTAGCTGCTGAAGAAGAGAGGAAGTTTCTCTATGTATATCATTTTGCTCTTCGACTAAAACGTTCATGTTTTCTTTGCGTTTTTCGACAATTCGTTCAGATTTCTCTTTAATCTCCTCCAACACACCGGTTGTTTTCAGCCAGTCAGACTCACTGCCGCTCCGTTCTTTTTGTAATTCCGTAACATGATCACATTTCCTATGTGCCCCAGCAATGCACATGACACACACATACACCCGATGATCTTCACATTTATGAGATACTTGTATGTCCGGATGTTCTGTACAAGACGTCATTTCTTTAACTAATCTAAATACTGTAGCATCTTCAGGCAGATTGTCCTTTATAATCTTATGATCTCTAGTCACTTTACTTTTCTTGTGATCACGGCAACACCCTTGACATAGATATTCTACACAAACTACACAGAATCCGACTGCTGACTCCTTTGTGTCGTCGTATTGACATGGATCACAAAGATGTGTAGCATCATCCGTTTTCTCAGCATTGGGTAATACTGTGTTTCCAGTTGTCCGAGACATTACATCAAGTTCGTGTTGAAATGTGTGTGTGTTTCTTTTCTTCGTTTACGCGCAACGTTCTTTTATCCCTTTAAAACATAATAAAGTTTATAAACTGTGAATACATGTATTTTATTTAGTCGTCTAGCATGTAATCTAGTCGTGACACTAATGGGTTATTTGCAGTCCCGTGTTTGCACTGAGATAACAAAAGCATGTATACATGTACATTCCGTTGTATTGATAACAGATAAAGCCGAAATTATTCATAATATAAAATATTGTGTTGTATGAATGAGGCTCCAAAGGGAATTGAATATTTTACATTTTGAAAAAAGAAGTAACGAGTTCTAATTAAAATTAAACTGCTTGGGTTTAAACCAAGAGAAAAAACACTTTATACTGAACCCTCTACATCAAATTACAATAAAATGCAAATAATTTTCTTACCTGCATAAAAACCCCAGATATAGCCTCTTTTTTATTATTGATTACCGGAAGTCAACTCTAATAATGACGTTAATACAATAACATATATAAAGGCGCGTCACGACGCTAATATTGGCGCAATATCTCTATACATGCATATGTTGGCCACAATGCTTGTTCAAAATCATACTAAATAAAATAATAATTGTACAAACTGAAATTCAATGAAATGAAAAATTGTAACTTAAACTTTGAAATCAGATATATATCTTTTGAATATAATTAAACTGCAAGTTTGATCAGTCAAACCAGTCCTGAACTGTCTCTGATAGTAAATGACATTTACAGTATTTCATTATGTAAAGGTCTCTCAATTTAAACCACTATTGCAATTAGTTTCAAATCACTGTTATTATTCTCTTACTGTAATAAACCGGTAAAGGTTCACCATGAAATTACCATGGAAACTGCTGTCTTTAATAACACGGGGCCTGGTGTGGTAGTATGAGCAGAATGTAATACCGAAATGGAGATTTTTTTTCTCATTGTTGATAACAGGATACTTATCTGCAGATTTGACAGCTATTTCTACTCCACAAGTACTAGTAAGATGTCTGCGTGAGCATATTTTACATTTGAATTTAGACTTACAGTCTGTAATCTTGTGGTTTTCCAGACAATTAAAACATAGATTTCTTTCCTTCGCTATATTCATTCTCTGGTCACGATCTTTAAATTTTACACAGTCTATACAAGAGTGCTCTCCCTTACAAAACACGCATCTCTGTCTATGTTGTCGTAAATTGCCTGGTATGGATGTATTTTTATTTGTTTGGGTCGTCAGACCAAACAAATAATGGTAGCGAAATTTCAGAGCCGAATGTTGTTAATTGCAGATGCCTAAAGTAGTCCACTTTTTTGAAGCGGTTACTTCCCTTTATATGTACACTAACGCCGAAAAATTCAGGGGAGATCAATGCGTAAAGGTTGTCAAATGACAGGCGCATTAATTTTTCAAGCAAAGTAGTTCCCGAATGGTCGAAGATTTCTAATATTGTTTCATTCTTTATAGATATACATGCTTACAGTAAGCTCCATGATTATTTACATCTGTGTTTAGCGTCGAAATAATAAGAGTTATAAACTCTAATTTAGAATAATACGGTTTTCTTCGGGCCGTCAACATATAAATTCACCTTGGCCGAGGGGTTTGCACGCTCGCTTTTGAGTCAAGAGGTCTCGAGTTCAAATCCCAGTTGAAGCAACACATTTTTCTTTCTTTTTTTAAGTCAAATAAACATTGAATTGGCTATCAGTGTTGCAGTAAGTCTTTCAGCCAATTTACTACAGTTAAAACACTGGAAAGCATTGGTGGCACTATACAAAAACAAATTGGTTTATAATCTCACAACCTTCACCTTTCCGACATTCTGAGACCCAAACAAATTCAGCGCCTTCTGTGCTTTGATTTCTTTCCGGTTTACTTGAATCAGATTTTTTTTTAGAAAAGTTGCTGTAGGAACGAAGTCTTGAGGGGTATTCAGCAAATTTCCAGCGTCTAAAATATTGATTTCATTCGGTATACATTGCATCCATTCATGCAAAGACCGCGACTTTAACCCGTGCGCACGTGTAATGTTTGTTTTGACCTCTGGCGGTAGTTTTTGAAGGATAACGGGGGTAAGTATTGAACCATAGGTAGTCTCATTCTGATTCAATGAAGCTAATGCCTGATATATGTCTCTGTTGTATCATAGAATTTTCTAACACTTTGTACAGTGTACATGGGTGCTGGAACTTCTAGTAATGCTTTCATGTAAGTTTGTATACTTCTGTCTTTTTGACCATATCTCTCATATAATAATGAAATAGCCTGTTCGTAAGTGATATTCGTTAAGGCAAATCCAGCTATATTGTTTGCAAAGCCTCATTTTCAAGTAACTGAAATTCTGTACTCCGCTAAGTGAAACATTCGTGTGTATAGCGCGCAATATTGGCACAACACACTGTCTTACCGGTGCATGTAATGACAGATTGCTGCAGTGATAGAAAATGTACTTATTATCACAGGTAGGGTATAAATTTGGCTTGTATATATTGATGTTGTACAAATTTCACTGCTATGAAGTTTATAACTGTCCATTGATTATAGAGACTATCAGGTAAATCTGGATTTATTTTCTTGAATTTTCAAGATATTATAAGTGGGTTAAGAAGTGGGTTAAAAGTGACAGATTTGAAAATATATTTTTTTCAAGTTTGATATAGATAAAGGGATTCCGTTTTATATTTAAAAAAAAGCATTTATCACTGAGGTATCTATCCAGATTGTCTTTTCTTTTCAAAATGTAACAGGCGTGCTGTTGGAGGCCAAAATGTTATTTTCGAAGCTGCCGATGATGGCAGAAACGCCCTGAAAGAGGCTAACATTCTGTCAGAAAATCAAAAATACTCTTTGCTTAATTTCTTTACGTATTTTTTGTTTAAAACTGTTACATTTTTCTAAAAATAGAAAAGTAATGGATGCGGTAGTTGCATTTATAAGTTTTTTTATGACACGCCGTCGCCGTCAACTTTATTTGTTCTATTTCTTTTTATATACGCAAAATTTCTTTAAAAAAAATAGTGGTATTTTTCAGAAGAAGTGTCAGTCAGTAATTGAAACTGAAAAGGTTACACAAAATACATGTATTTAATGGAGTTCTACAGTGTTTCATTAGCACAATCGCGTTTTCTCTGAGAACGAAAATCGAAAAGCACGGCAGTACGATGGTGGAGTGCGACAGTACTATGGTGACAGTATATAAATAACACATGGGTTTGTGGGTAACAGTAAAAATATCATCCCGAGGAAAATACTGTTACCCGAGGCGTAGCAGAGGGTGTTTTCGCTGATAACTGAAAGCATGAAGTAGGACAGTGAGATGACGACAGTACGATCTCGTATTATTACCCCTCACTTTTTTGATCACAAATGACACTCTGGATAAGAAAATTTGGAATTTCAGGGTACATTGCATTGTCAGATACATCAAAATCAATGTATAACAACAAATCAAACACACGAAATCATTTTATTAACTAAATGTTCATTTTATATACATGGTGAAACAAATACTGGAAATAACAAGATACAGCAAATACACACTCCATTAAAATATAAAACTATAAGAAAAACTATAAGAAAAGAAAGTAAATTCACTTGAAATGAAAAACTATTTACAACTATTTACTAAGTACAAGAGCGATCAGTGATCACATGTGTCGCCTAATGATAGCCAGCTGCATGTTTCATCTACAGCGTTACAGTAGCAGAGGAAACAAACAAAACACGTTTGTATTCAAGGGCCATAACTCATCCAAAAGTTATTCAACCGGAAAACCCGCGCGCGAATTGAGCTACTGGTCATTCCTGTATAGATTAATTGAAATTGCAATAGTGATACAAGAGGAGTAGTCCGGACAAACTTTAAAAACAAAAATTATTAAAGGGCCATAACTCTGACAAAAAATCATTCGACAGGAGTTGCCGATTATATGCACAACTAGACTTGGTACTTATCATACCTATTATAAAGTTTGGATAAAATTGCATCAGAAGTTTTTGAGGAGTATTCCGGAAAATTTTAGTGACGGGCGGATCCTACGTACAGACGACGGAGAAGTAATCCCTGTATGTCGCCATTACTCTGTACTACTCTGTAGAGGCGACACAAAAATACTGCATTTCAGTAATATATCATCTTTAGTACGTTTTCACATAAAAAAGCAGCATGAAAAAATGCGTTGATATTTGTTGTAAATACTTTAACAAGAAAATTCCACATTTAAGTTGTGATAAGATTCAAATTGGAAAGGAAATATGATAAGAATAAATGCATTGAATAAATTTAAGGGAGAATTATTATGCCAAAGAGAATTTATTTATTCACCCTAGAAAGGAGAAAGACAGCAGATAAATTGTAGTTAAAACTCAAGTTGCGTTTTATAACATATTTCGTAATTAAACTTTTTTGGCCATCTTATGCACAGGGTAAAATCAGTTTTAGTTGACTTTCACACTTTTGTTACACACTTTCATCCGAAAGTTTCTAAACTCTCATAAAGGCATCACAAGTTAATACCATAGTAAGCCTTATGTCGTTTTTGTTAGTATTTCTACTGTTGCAAAACATCTACAGTATTACTTCCGAAACATCCGACTATAATCCTGTTTCTGTTGTGATCCCTTGCAACAGACAGTGGCACTGTAGCTTTTAAAACTACTGGCTTCTCCCGATCTGTTAAAAAATGATAGACACATCCTGAGGCTGGTGCGCATATATATATATTTCCGTTTGCATCGCTTGAAATGTGCCTTGTTACATCAATGTCGTCACCGAGTGCCATCACCGGAATAAGTGTATAAGTGTTGAATTTCGCCGGTACGAGAAGTGAAACGCCTATACTTCTCCCAATAATCACTAGGTTACATTCAATATAACATATACCGAATTCTTCCCGATTTGCAAAATGAAATGAATTATCAAGTGATATTTCGTGGATAATTTTTCCTCCAACATTTCGAATTTGAATATTATTTCTTGACGTGAAGCCCAAAGAATATAATAGAGCTATTTTCTGGTATTGTGGACTTGCTGTTATACGGCTAATTTCAAACTTTGTTGGCAGTTCACGGTAGTGTGAAATAACTCCAACGTTTATCTGCTTAAAGTCTATCCGTTTTGCGACCTTGTATATAATTGCAGCTGTGTTTATGTCTGTGATACAAATATCTATTGGTGGTGCTGTCAACAAATTTCCAGACAAAAATATGAAGTCGGAATCAAACACCTTGATCTTTCTGTTTTCTTCGTCAATAACAACAATAATACCGTCGTCTAAAATAACACAACCCGTAATGGAGCAGGAATAAAAGTCATCTCCAATTTTCACGGTGAATCTGTCTGGTTGAGCATTATTATCTTTCTCATTTGCGCAAGTTGATGATTCTCCTTTAGCTACCTCTTCAAGCACATAGCTGTTATCTTCGTCTTTGACTAAAACATTTTCATTTGCCAGGTTTCTTATTTGCAGTTTGCCGAAGTCACTCACGACAAAGCATTCTTTATTTTTAATGAAATTCAGGTGCATTGGTTCACGTTTTCGTAGTTTATCTTTTTCCTGGTCCATCAGATCAAGCTTTTCTTGTGTAATCATCAAAATTGTGTCTTTCTCGATCTCATTTCCGTACTGGTCTATCGTTTCAATAATTTCACAAAGGAGTTTGCATTCGTCTTCCAGTGCTTTGCATTTGGACACGTCATCTTTTAAAGCTTTAAGGTAAGATTCTCCTATCAGATCTGTTTCATTTACAAGTTCGGTTTTCTTTGCAACTAGTTCAGATGTACACTGTTTAACGATTTCGGAGGCTTCAACTTTGACATTGTTCTTTTCAGTCGTCAATTCTAGAACATTTAAACTTTTTGTTGAAGACATCTGCTGATTATCGACTTGGTGTTGCTTGATTTTCAAAAGAATCTGAGATACTGTGTTACCGGACGATGTAATTGCGTCCGAAATTCTGCAAACATTTTCACATTTTCTATGAGAATCGGCTAGACAAAAGCAACAGATATGTGTATTGTGATCGACACATTTATGCGTAACGTCTATGTCACTGTGAATCGGACAAGATACCATTCTTCGTATGTGCTTGAAAATTTTAGGATCATCTGGTATATTTTCCAACAATAGTTCATGATCTCTCGTTGTTTTATGTTTTCTATGATCTCTGCAGCAATTCTTACACAAATATTCAACACACACAATACAGAATGCACATGCAGTCACTTGTGTATTGTCAAGTAAACATGGATCGCACTGGCATGCCGCTTTTTCTGTCCCGCCTTCATTTGCATTACCTGCGTCATTTAAAACAGCTGGCTTCGTTACTTCCTCAGCATCAGCGCAATCGGAAGAAATATTTTCGGAAGACACAGGAAAATCCTTTTTAGTTTCTTCTAAATCACTGTCTGTAACAATTATTTCCGAATCCATGTTTAATATGCACTGGTTTTTAATTATGCAAGACTTAGATTATATGAAATACCGAAGTTTCAAATACAACTGATATATCTATTTTTCATCTAGTAATTGGTTGCCTTTGTTGGCAACAAGATACAAGATAACATTTCAAAGTGACAATTCAATAATGAAACGTATCAAATAACACGAAGCTACATAACGCCTCGACGGTTCAGCTTATATATATATATCTCATTTGTTAAAAACCGTCTGATTTATAGTTAACTATAGTTTAGCTACTATTAGTTATACGGTTATACGGTTGTAATACAATAATTATAATAGCTTACTAATACACACAGGGGCATATAAAGGCGCCATGAAAACTTGATCCACCATTGTCTGACAGTATTGACATGTGCATTTATTTTGTCAGTGCCTGAATCTTTTGTTTTATGGGAGTATGGTTTTCAATGTAACGAACATTAAACGGGATTTGGTGCTCTATGTGTAAATGTAGTGATTTCGTAAGGTATAAATCCTCTTTACAATAGGAAAATTTTATAATCTATAGATTTCAGTTTTCATATTTGCAGTGTTGTGTGAGCAGCTTTTCTTAACTCATTGACCCCTGATAGTAATTATCCAATTGCCCCCTGATAAGAACTGATAAGCCATCCCCTGTGTATGTTATTGATTTTATCTACACTGTCTCCCTGAGATTAATTTTATTGGTTCACTGTTTATTGGGGGTACTTTACTTGAATGGCTATGATTGACACATTTATGATCCAATTAACAATAAATTTGGCACACATGCTGACATTTGAATTAGCCACATGATGATATAATTTTAATGTATGAGATGTCAGATAAACCCACACAATTAAAGAGGAAAGAAGCAACTAACAGTTATTTTTTTATTATTATTAAATATCAACAATAATTAGTTTTAATTCATTGTAAACCTTTAATAAACAAAACTTTTTTTTAGAATTTTATAAAATGTTTTTCCACTTAAAGTGTTTAATTCATGGTATATAATAATTATAATTTAATCCATTATCATTGTAATCCTTGCAAAATATTTCACACCTACACCCAAATTTACGCTCTTTCCATTTTAGGTAGAATTCAAAACAAATATCTTTTAATTCTTTATAATGATAATAAATTAAAAATTTTCTCTGTTTTAAATAAATAAATTATATACAAGTTAAAAGTAATAAACTCCATTTTATTACAGTCATGCAAATAGTTCACAGGACTATTTAATTATTTTTAATTTTTTAGTTGGTGTACGGACATAATCCCCTTCAGTCAAAATCCCTACTTTCATTTTCTAAACTACTTTCTAATGTCAAATTCAAACTTATTTCATTATCAGAATCCAATGGATTATCCTTCGTATCGGTCTAAAATGTAAGCTCAAATACTGACGGCCGTTTTCGTCGTTTTCCATGATTTTTTAACTCAAATTAATGTTATAACCATTCAAGTTACAAATTTTTTTTCTTCTCTCCGTGATCATCAGTTTTTCGATTCAAAATGTAACACAATTTCTGATTGGCTAATATTTAAATACTCTTGGGGAATACCTTGAAAACAACCAATGATTTACGACGCTACAACGTGGCGACCGGGAAGTAAGGCAAGTCTTATCTAGCCGCATATATGTGGCATGCAGGACAGGTGTAAAGTCGATATTGACTCTTTATCGTGGCGTTAGGTATATGAGAGAAGTTTAAACCGACGCATTATCGTGGCGTTAGGGGTCAATGAGTTAAGTCTGTTTTTTTTTGGTTATTTTTTTTAACAAATTTAAAATCTGAAACAGTGTTATACTCCATGAGTGAATAAAACCAACACATACATTTTGTTTGCGAAATTGCATACCGTAAATATTATTTTAGTCTATTTGTACGAAGTATGGCGTAACACTGCATTAATAAATTATACATATCTTTCAACCAAAAGAGAATTGAAGCAACTACCTTATACGATAGGCTCACGGGCAAATATCAAGATAAGACCATAGTTGTGACCATAGTTACAGCGGGACCTTAATTGTTATTATTTCTGATGGTTCATTCGATAAAAATCTTGATATATCGTTCAAGGGAGATGACTCTACAGTTCACGAGTATCGAGCGTATTTCCATTCATCAGCAAAGTTGAAATTAAACTTATTTCCTAAAGTGAATTTCTATCAAACATATAACAATGCTAGTTGCATACAATTAAAGGAAAGTTTTCCATTAAGCATATAATGCCCTTTCTTTGCGTGTGTACGAGGGATGTTCGGAAAAAATAAAAGTTGCATTGAGGACAAACATTCTTTTAATCGCAGACCGAATTGATAACATAAAGAATAGCATGATTAAACACAACGAACTTAAGAACAAACTTGCTGAAGTTGAGAAAAATCTACAAAATATGTATAAGTTAGAAATAAAAGAAGAAATAAAAACGTTAAAAGATGACTCAACGGAATTGTTTAATACATTTTCTGAAAAGTTTGATGAATTCAAAGCACAACTAGAACAATCTGCTTCACAAAGAAGCGATGCACAAGATGGAGAAATTAATAATTTAAAAGTTAAATTAAATCAAATGAAAGATTTCCTTACTGATAATCTGCAGAAAGAAATTACCAGACTTGATATGGATGTTAAAAATTCAGTTACGATTCTGAAAAGTAAAATAGAAGCTCTCGAAAAGGTGCAAAATAAACGAGCTGATGACTTAGGTAAAAATAATACTTGATACAACCTCGGACCTCTCAGTAGTAAAAAAGGAGATTTCTGATATTATTAACAACAAAATATATCATGTTCCTTTATTTCATATGCGGAATGATTCTACTTCAAGAAGTTAAAGTTTTACCTACTACTTACGAAATCGGTAAAAATAATCGTTATATTAGAACTCATAACCTATTTGAGTTTTTTAAGACTCATTCTTCACCTGTTGTAAATTATAATGATTATATAGAAGAGGAACGTGAATTGAATATAGGTGACTTTAGAAACCGTGAGTGGTTTTACAACTAAAAAAAGAATGGAACATACTACATTAATATAAAACTTATAATAAAGGGTAAAAGCGACTTTTTATTGATATGGCAGGAAAATTACAGATCTGAAAACGAAGACAGGACTCATGAAGTACTTTTAAAAAGACCAACGGATGCAGATGTGTTTGAAGACGTTATAAAGCAACAGTTTTTAAAGAATACATCAATTGCAATTTTTCCAGTCTCGGTTACTGACCAATTATTTACTATTGAAAAAGGTAGTTACATTAGATTTAATTATTCTTGGGAATGATTTCTTTTAAATTGTATTCAAAAAATTCCCTTTAAAAATGAAGCCACCAACAGCTTCGGATCCTTTATATCCAGAATTACCAGTAGAAGATGGTCAAAATTATAGATTACAGAAGATATCAGAAATAGAAAAAAAATTAATTAATGAGAGGGATACTCGTAAATCATTATACAGGAAATATAAAACGCGGAATTAATATTACTGATGGTGTTGATACAACTCTCATTTCTGGGAGTGTGGTTATGGGTGGTATTGGAATCGTAGTACCGTTTATGTTGCCATTAGAAAATGTGGCAGCAGTTTGTGGTGTAGCGGGGTTATGTGTAAAGTTTTATTAGAAGGAGACTGCATTCAAAAGCAAAAGAAGCATGATGAGATTAAAACTATTGCTGATAGTAAATTAAATAGTATAAAAAAAGACTTAATTTCTAAGGCTTTGACAGATGGGCAGATATCTGAAAATGAATTTAAATTGATTTTAGATGAATTAGATAAATATAATAAACTAAAAGATAGTATTCGTTCAAAACAAACAGGATTGAGTGAGACAGAGAGAAAAAAACTTATTGAAGAGGGAAAAGCACAGGCTTTGAACGAGTTAAAAAAAAAAAAGGAAATGTATAATTTTATTTAATAAAGTTACTATAGTAAATGATCCACCGCCGAAATATAAAAGTTAACCAGACGTTTTATTATTTTTTTTTATTATTTTTTAACAATGAGTAAAATATAAATACATACACAAACTTTTAAAACGCATTTAAATACAAACTTTAAATTCACCCGGTTATGCATAACCGTTTCTAAATATAGCATTGAGAAATACAAACTTTAAATACACCCGGTTATGCATAACCGTTTCTAAATATAGCATTGAAAAATAGTCACTGGGAAGTACACCGGTTATGCATAACCGTTTCTGAATATAGCATTAACAAATAGTCCCGGTTATGCATAACCGTTTCTAAATATAGCATTGACAAATAGTCACTGTGGTTGTATGATTCAATTGTATCAATCCTACGACCCCATATTTTGATAGAATATTCTATGCTCATTAATCAATTGTTTTTCGGTAGAAGTCCATTGTTGTTCTTGTTGCTGTTCCTTATCTGTAAAATCACATATTTCACGTTCTAAAGAACTAAAATCCACTGTATCCTGAGACATTATGAAAGTTCTTCATTTTCTGGGAATGTCTGCTCTAGCCATGTCACAAACCCATTGAAGTCTTCTTGAAAGATTTTGAATGTTTCCTTATCCCTGAAAATAAGAATATCATAGATTATAGATATAGATTATAGCGATTATAGATTATTTCATGCTTTCTAGGTCGAAGGAATATTGGTTATATTGTATCTATAAAACTTCTCTCCATTAACAATATAGAACACAAAATATTAAATAAAATGCAGTACTTACATGGTTTAGCCCTTTGATTTGCCTTTTTTAGAAGTTAATTTAACGTGTTGTTGTAATGAATGCTGTTAACAAGAGGCAAGGTAAAAACGTCTTCTCACACTGATAATTTGAAATGAAAGACCGGACCCTTTACAAACCGGTTTTCAATGTAAAACCACAAATATCCACGCATTACTACACAATACGCTTGGCTTGTCAATGTGAATTTTACATCATTAAATTTTCGTTTTATATAATTTCCTATTTGTCATACCACAGATTTATTTTTTTTGGGGTGCGGGTTCGAGTCCCGCCGGGGATAAAAAAAATTTTTTTTTTAGGGATGTTGGAGAAGAAAATCTTTTTAAAAAAGTAGGTTATAAAAAAAGGGGTATAACTGGAATTTTTTTTTTTTTATGGTGGGATGGCCTAGACTCGCTCAGTTGAATTACTACTAACGTTGACACTCAATTTTATTAAGATAGATTATACAACGCTTACTCGTATTCATTTTTTGTGCAAAATTACGGAGCATCTTAATTAAAGTGAACACACTTAGGGAAAAATGCGGAAAAGATTTGGGATTAAAATTTCGTTTTTGTTTTAAAGACACAAAAAATAACCCAAATGCCATTTTTCGATTCCATATAATTTTTGAAAAAGTTGCCGTACGGCAGCCAATACAGTTGTGGGCCAAGGCTAAGTCCGTACCGTGACTCAACGTTACGGCTTTAGAACCCCTTTTTTGGCTTAGCCGTACCGGCTAGCCACTTCCCTTGACATTTTATGCCTTTAGTTATTTTTTAAAAATCCCCTTCGAGCATGACAAAGTTAAACAGATCCCGGACACAATTTAAAGTGGGAGAGTCTGGGGAAAACCCACAGACAGAAAGACGGACGGGTTTTGCGGCATTTTTTTTGCCACCCTTTTCAGGGGCATTAAAAAACCATAGGGAAAAAAAAAAAAATTCAAACACGCCGTTTTTTTTTTTAAAACAAAAACTTCATATGAAAAAACGGCATTTAACAAAAAGTCTACTATTTCCCCTCGAAACATTTCCCTCTATGTTATTCTAGGCTTTAATGAAAGTCCACCCGAATTTGCACACCAAAGGCTTGCACAAAATTGTTTAAACAATTCTCACTTATATCATTAAAAAATGCCCTTTACAGCGATGGTTTGGAGAATAGGAACATCCTGTTGTTGTATTTTCTTTTAAAACCTTCCCCCCGGATATCATTTGATTTCCAACACGAATTAAATACCGGTGCTTAGTATGGCATGGGGAGTTTGTCTCCAATCTTTTATCTGTAAATGAACAGAACTCATAAAAGTCTTGCAATGTTCACCTTTTTTTTAATTTCATTTCTTTCAGGAATCTTTTCCCCAATTTCCAGGTTTTTTTCTAATAAAGCCTTTAAACATTCAAACCCAAATATAATTACTTAAACTGGTGTGAAAAAAAAAACGAGAAACAAGAATATTGTAGGTTTCTAAAATGTTTTTAATGACTTTTACGGAATATTTACCAATTTCACATACAGATGGACAAGACGATAAATTATACATGTATAATAAAATTGGTCCACCAGATTACAACATTTAAATCATGTTTAAACTCCCCCACGATTCTTTGTAAACAAACACTATTATTAAATGTTTTTTACTAATTAAACATTTTGATCACTTTTTCTAAAAATTTCACTTCCGTAATCTGTCCAGTTGTAGTTGTTTTTTTAAATCAAATTAGAAGTCTTATGTAAGAGATTCTGGGTATTTTACTCAACCCTAATATGTTGCATTTAAAAAAATTTAAAAAAACTCCGCATGTCTCTTTTTTAATAAAACAATTCACAAAGGAAAGAAAAAAAAAAAAAATTTTTTTTTTTTTTTTTTTTTTTTGCCGGGGCAAAAAATTTCGAGGTTTTTGACTTTCCTGTAAAGCCCTTAATTTGTCTATTCGAGATTGGCCAATTTTAAAAGTTTTACTTTATTTCTTTTTTCTTCGACTTGGCCTCCACTTGCCTTGAAGGGGTGTCTGCCCTTACGTTTTAGCCCCGCCTGAAAAAATAGTTAAGCCAATATTTATTAATTTCTACATGTTTCTATAAACATTCTTACTTTCATATTAACAATCACAAAAACCATCAAAGCTGTATACATGTATATAAATACACAGGGGTGATGTAATAATGAATAAATTTCCTGATTCTTTACCAAAGAAACGACTGTTTAATATTAGAAACTGATATAGACTAAATCTGATTATTGACCATGTAATAGGACAGTGTATAAATGTTCGTATTTTTTGCTATAAAGGGTTCATAAAGTAAGTCCAGTACTGTTTAAACTTTAAATACTGGGCCATGTAGCTGTACACAATCTATAACTATTAATAAACCTGTTACTTGTATGAGAAGTTAAATGAATTAACCTACGAAAAACTACTCTTAAAATTATACTAATACTTTCAAAACAAGTATCACTAATCAATCAGTGTAGTATTTACCTTTTGTGCACTACCTCCAGCCTTGCCTTTACGTCTTCTCTCTGCCTTTTCTCTCTCTTCTAACTCCATGTTCTCTCTCTCTATCAGTGTAATCAACGTGTTACATCGTCTCTGTATCTCCTAGTAAATGTCAATATAATATGTACAAGAGCGATCAGTAATCACATGTGTCGCCTCATGATGGCCAATTTCATGTTTGGACAAGTTTTGTGACCAGAAAACGGACGTCCGGCCCGGAAATGGGAAATTTAAGGGGGGGCCCATTTCTTTTTGTTTATTTTCGTTATTTGTTTAAAATAGGAGGGCCAATGGCCCCGCTTACTCTTATTTGTTTTAAAGGAATGAACTCTATTTTTTCTCTTTTGTTTGCTTACAGTTTTTAGATGGGCCCCCCCGCGCCCCTATCCCTAATTCGGTTTAGTGGGCGGACCAGTCCAAACAACTAGAAAATTGGGGTACTGAATCATTCCGGTAAAAATTTGAAATAAATTTTTTGCAAACCAGTAGTTTTTTGAGGAGATAAGTTCTGGACAAACGCTTTTTGTGTATCTGGGCAATACACAGAAAAAAAAACACCTTTTGATCAAAGGGCCATAACTCAGCCAAAAAATCATTCAACCCGGAAAACCCGTGCAATTTGCGCAAGGACTTGAGCTACAGATCAATCCTGTAAAGTTTCATTGAAATTGCATTAGTGGTATAAGAAGAAGTAGTCCCGGACAAACTTTAAAAATAAAAAATTATTAAAGGGCCATAACTCTGACAAAAAATCATTGAACCGGGAAAAATGCTGACAATATGCACAACTAGACTTGGTACTGATCATTCCTGTAAAGTTTAGATGAAATTGCACCAGTATAGTTTATGAGGAGTAGTCCGGACAAGCTTTTGTGTATCTGGCAACACACAGAAAAAAAAACACCTTTTTAACAAAGGACCATAACTCGGCCAAAAAATCATTCTACCAGAAAACCCGTGCAATATGCGCAAGGACTTGAGCTACAGATCAATCCTGTAAAGTTTCAATGAAATTGCATTAGTGGTATAAGATAAGTAGTTCGGACAAACTTTAAAAATAAAAATTATTAAAGGGCCATAACTCTGACAAAAATCATTGAACCGGAAAATGCTGACAATATGCACAACTAGACTTGGTACTGATCATTCCTGTAAAGTTTGGATGAAATTGCACCAGTAGTTTATGAGGAGTAGTCCGGACAAGTTTTGTGACGGACGGACAGACAGACCACGGAGAAGTGGTCACTATATGTCGCCACTACTCCGTAGGCGACACAAAAATAAATGTTACAAATAATATTCATGTTATTGTTATAAAAGACTTACACCGTTATCATTATTTTATGATATATATCCCCAAACAAGTAAAAAGTGTTACCCTCATCATTTGTTTTAGTATTTAGAAATCTGTTTTTATTTGTTCATTCAATATAAAAAACTTGGGAGAGAAGTTTCATTCCTTTTCAATTACTGCTATGAATTTAGTCCCGAGACATTACAGATAAGCTACGTTTAAGATAGCATTCTATATACAGTTTGAAGAATTCAGTCTTACCACAAACAGGCAATGAAAAAGATTGGCATTTTATATACAGGTTGAGGAACTGATCATGAGGTATGAAAACCAATCACTGTGTATAAATTGCTCCTGTTAAGTATCAACAATAAATTACAATTAGTATGTACCATAGCTGTTCTAGATTTGATGAACCAGCCAAAAGTTTTTAGGGGAAAATATACTTATTTTGAGCTAGAGGAAACAGCCTTTATTCAGCTAAAAATATAGGGAAAAAAGTCACAGTCAATATGTACCATAGCTGTCCTAGATTTGATAAACCAGTCAAATCTGAATTGTGGAGCTTGTCTGATGGCAGTACGTAACTCATCGTAGACATTCTCCTTGTCAAAGCCAAGCTTGTGTAACATACAGATGAGAAACCGATCTTCCTCCTCGGTGTAGTTTTTGCCCTTGTTTGTACCATACTGTATACGGAGCTGGTGGAATGGAGCCTTATATCTCATCATTTTAGCATCTAGGGCACGCTTGATACTAATACGTCTCTGAATCTTTGCCTCTCCACGCTCTATTTGTGCCATTATTTTCTCAATGTCTTGTAATTCATTACATCTCTCCCAGAATACACGTGAATATTCAATCACCTGATTAAGAATACAATATTTTATCATAATGATACATTAACAGAATTATATATGCAAGTTTTAAAAAATGAAAAAATCAAAACAAGATTCACAGTTCAACAATTTGCGTTATTAAAACAAGATCATGACAGAATCTACTATTTCCATCACCATATTTTTTACCCTGTAACTAGCAGTGGAAGGGCTATTATGCATATATTGATACATTATAGATAATTCTGAGTTTAGGCAGAGCCTTGATATAGCTTAAATCACTTCATTTTTAACACTTGACAAAAGTTTTTTTATAAAAAAATAAACAATTACACAAAATTGAAAGTTGTTGGACTGATTTTTAAGGGACTTTTTACGCCTTTCATTTTAGAAATGACCAACTACTATATTAGATATTCCAAGCTAACCAAAAGTGGTTTAACACGTTAAGGGCTTAGTAATTTAAGGGATTGGCTTGACCCCTCGTTGGGGCAAGCCATTGTTTCCTTGAGCAAGAAACTTTACATTTATTGCCTTGTACTTGTTGGTTCCAGGAACGAATTCCAGAGTGTTTCAATAACCTTATAGGCTTTTTCCAAACACAATCAAAAATAAAAATAAATTTGTTTTTAACCTAAAATTGTTTTTAGATTTTACTTATGAACTTTAAAATGCCTTTCTTTGGATTTTAACAATGTGGGTAATTTTAAGGGGTTTACCAAAACCCCATTTTGGGGTTTTTTCCCTTTCCCCCTCCCGGGGTATTTTATCAAATTTTTCAATTTTCTACCCTATTTTTTCCCTTGGCTTTTATAAACTGGGGTTTTTTAAAATTTTTCCCCCTTGTTCCACTTTCCCTAAAAAACCCCCGAAAATATCATTTTTACCAAAAAGGGGCATGGTTTTTTAAGTGGAAATTTTGACTTAAAAAAAGGAATGGGTGTTTTTATGGTTTTCAAAATACAATAAATCTCCCTTTGCGAATTTTTAAGTGGTTTTTGGGAGCTATGATATTTCCTCCAAGGTTATTACACATAACAAAACAACAATGTTTAAAGTTTTACATATGACAAGCCAAAGTCAGTGATAAATATATCACTAGAGTGCTTAAGGTTATAGGAAAATTCTAAGAAACTAGAACTATCGCTGAATGCGATTTCATACCCCCCACCAATTGTCCTTGACAGAAGACGACTTGGAAAGGTGGTGTAAAGGGAATAACTTAAGTGGCGCAAATACATAAAAAGAAATTGTCTCTGGTGAAAAAAAAGGACTAATAGTACAGGTAAAAGTATAAATATTTATTATCAAATCATGTTTCGAAACAGTTACTAATAACCTTTCATTTTCCCAATACAGTCAACTATCGTTATCTCGACATCGCTTTTCTCGATATTTTCGTTATCTCGATTAAAATTTTGAAAGTCCCGATTTTTCTTCCGTCTTTATCTATATTGGAAATATTTGTTTATCTCGATATTTTTATTTTCGATATTTTCAGTATCTCGATGTAAAATTTCAGCCCCAAACAGTTATTTTCACACTATTATCCTTTGTTTATCTCGACTAAAAAGTTTTTTCTTTCATCTGTTTCCCTTCAGAACGTTGTGAAAAAAAAAAAACTAGACGATAATTGATCAATTAGCGCGTTTGTCATCAAGATTAATATGTTTTGTAACAAGTTTAGCTATTTTTATAAAAGTTAATCTATTTAGCATGTTGATTGACTTATGTCCAAAATGAGTGAATTTTACGTTCTTTATAAATATTTCGAACACTGTATCAATTCATTATGACTTTAAATGTAAATGAAATAGTGAAAGTATAGAAACGCTATCGTTTCAATATTTTTCACAACATCACCACCAAATTTCAAATCAGCGGTCGAACAATCTCGAGAAAAGACCCAATAACTAACCCGGGAGGATTATCCGGATCAACCACCCTGAAAACAATGATTTCACTATATTGGCGTATTACTGAGTAAACCTCACTATGTGTTTTTATCACAGATACCCGTATTTCCGCTGGTAAACATCCCGCTAAATGTTTACTTTGTTCAATATTGACTAGGCCTATGAAAACAAGACATGGGGCGATATCATAGTTTATTTTGACATAAGGTATGCACATGTCTTTTGTAAAAATCAGTTTCTGCCTTATTCAAACCCTAATATGTTATATCTCGACATTTCGTTATCTCGATATTTTTTGGACGGTCCCGATGACTTCGAGATAACGAGAGTCGACTGTATTAAACTTTTTATAAGTCAATTTTTGACCTTTAAGTGTGGCCTTGAGTTTCAGCTGGCACAAGGGTAAGATGGATTCTGCACATCGCCCAGTTGGGGTGAACATTTGAGTAAAGTTTGAAGAAAATCCTTCCATTTCCATTAGTAAAAAATTTATAGAGCGGACAAAACATATTGTCAAGTATTAATTGTATGTAAATTTTAAAGACTTAAAAAGGGGCATAACTTTGTCAAAATGCAATACAGAGTTATGAAACTTGACCTGCATATCGTAATTGTGACACCTCATATATCTTTTAAGTTTCAAGCAAATACCTGTGCTAGTTTCAGAAATATTCAAGTACATGTTAAAATTAAAGAACGTTTTCTAAGTCAATTTTTGACCTTCAAGTGTGACTTTGACTTTTAGCCTGCACAAAGGTGACATGGATTCTGCACATAACCTTGTTGAGGTGAACATTTGAGTAAAGTTTGAAGAAAATTCTTCGTTTATTGTAGGATTTTATAGAGCAGAAACAACATATTGCCTAATATTTGATTGTATGTAAATTTGAAGACTCAAAAAAAGGGGCATAAACTTTTGTTAAAAATGCAATACAGAGTTCTGAAACTTGACCCGCATACCTTAATTTGTGACCTTTCATATATATTCTTATATGTTTCAAGCAAACACCTTTTCTAGATTCAGAAAATATTCATATAAATGTTAAAATTTAAGAAAAAATTTACTATGTCAATTTTTGACCTTCAAGTGTGACCTTGACCTTAAGCCGGCAAAAGGGTGACATGGGTTCTGCACATTCCCTTGTTGAGGTGAACATTTGAGCCAAGATTGAAGAAAAAATCTTTTTCAATTAGTGTAGGACTTACAGAGCGGACACGACATACTGTCTAATATTTGTTTGTTTGATATTTGACCTTCAATTGTGACCTTGACCTTGAGATGACACATGGGTTCTGCACATTCTCTTGTTGAGGTGAACATTTGAGCCAAGTTTGAAGAAAATCCTTCAATTAGTGTAGGGCTTACAGAGTGGACACAACATATTGTGTAATATTTAATTATTAGTATTTGACCTTCAATTGTGACCTTGACCTTGAGCTGACACATGGGCAACATGGGCTCTGCACATCCCCTTGTTGAGGTGAACATTTGAGCAAAGTTTGAAGAAAATCCTTCAATTAGTGTAGGGCTTACAGAGCGGACACAACATATTGTGTAATATTTGATTATTGGTATTTGACCTTCAATTGTGACCTTGACCTTGAGCTGACACATGGGCAACATAGGTTCTGCACATCCCCTTGATAAGGTGAACATTTGAGCCAAGTTTGAATTAAATCTTTCAATAAGTGTAGGAGTTACAGAGCGGACACGACATACTGTTCTAATATTTGATTGTTTTGATATTTGACCTTCAATTGTGACCTTGACCTTCAGCTGACACATAGGCAACATGGCGTTCTGCACATCCCCTTTTTGAGGTGAACATTTTGAGCCAAGTTTGAAGAAAATCCTTCAATTATTGTAGGACTTACAGAGCGGACACGACATACTGTCTAATATTTGATTGTGTTTGATGAAGTCAATTTTTGACCTTCAAGTGTGACCTTGACCTTAGGCCGGCAAAAGGGCAACATGGGTTCTGCACATCCCCTTGTTGAGGTGAACATTTGAGCAAAGTTTGAAGAAAATCTTTCAATTAGTGTAGGACTTACAGAGCGGACACAACATATTGTGTAATATTTGATTGTTTGGTATTTGGTCTTCAATTGTGACCTTGACCTTCAGCTGACACATAGGCAACATGGGTTCTGCACATCCCCTTGTTGAGGTGAACATTTGAGCCAAGTTTGAAGTAAATCTTTCAAAAAGTGTAGGAGTTACAGAGTGGACACGACATACTATCTAATATTTGATTGTTTGATATTTGACCTTCAATTGTGACCTTGACCTTGAGCTGACACATGGGCAACATAGGTTCTGCACATCCCCTTGATAAGGTGAACATTTGAGCCAAGTTTGAATTAAATCTTTCAATAAGTGTAGGAGTTACAGAGCGGACACGACATACTGTCTAATATTTGATTGTGTTTGATATTTGACCTTCAATTGTGACCTTGACCTTGAGCTGACACATGGGCAACATGGGTTCTGCACATCCTCTTGTTGAGGTGAACATTTGAGCCAAGTTTGAAGAAAATCCTTCAATTGGTATAGGAGTTATAGAGCGGACACTAAAATGGAGACGGACCGACGGACCGACCGACGCGACAAAGCGAATCCATTATAGCCCCCCCCACATTTTGTGGTGGGGGTATAATAATCTTGCAGTTTGTCAGATAAACATCTCAACATGTTAACATATTAAACTAGCTAGTTTTGTCCGTGATATCACATTTGTTTAACATTTACTTTATAAATACTACTCTTGTATACAATTATTTTTATATAAATGTACATTCCAATAATTCCTAGAATATCATGTGATAGTTAGCTGTTACTTCTAACAGCCAGACAAGGATACAAAAAGAAATTCCTGACTCTGACAAAATGGAACAAATAAGATTAAAATGCACGATATTAACCTGTTTTAAAAGATCATCTTTTTCAGCATTTTCCTCGTCTGTAAGTAACTCAGCTTCATCAATCTTGGCTTGCTCTTCTCGTCTTACCCTTTCAGCATCATGACCTAATTCTGGATTCTTAGGCACCTAATCAACGTATAAATAGGTATATAAAATCAGTATTTGTCATTCCAGTATAGCTAGAATTTTTATTCAGGTAACTAAGACACTAGTGAGAGTATAAATATATGCTACATATAATGCGATAGTTAATTCTGGTCTCTGTATTCTTTTATGTCAGACAATGAAGGTAAAATATTTAATCTGCACTCTGAACTAGAACTAAATGGGACATATCTTTTCACAGGGAAACTGACAGCCATTTCATATGATGTCACATGGGAGTTTTTTTATCACAAATTTTATAAAATCTGGAAAAAACTATTATTATACCCCCATTGATATAGTAATGTATAACTCACCAAAATATTTCAACTACTTCTATAAATGTTTGAAAATTTTTTTTTTTAATGTAACCTTATCAAGGATAAGAACAGAAAGTTTAAAATTAATAATATAAATACTAATAATTACATTGTCTTCAAACAAAAAAGTTTTCAAAGACATAGATTTTTTTTTGAAAACATCTGAAGGGATAATAAAATCATTTGAACAAAAATATAAATGTTCATGTCCAATAGAGCACAAACATATCAGTTGAAAACATAGAAAATTTGATAATATTCATAGAAGATGACAAAAAATATATATTACCCGATAGCCTATACTTTTCCTGTAAAAATAAATTTCTTTGTCTAAAATTTCAAACAGTCTTGGTGGGAAGAACTGGAAATCTTGAACATTTGGTTGTTTAGGAGGTCTTGGAGCCTGTAAGATAAATCATGAGCATAAATATACAAGAGGTTGTATACAGGTAAAGCATTCCTTCTTACACATAATCTAGTAACTGATATTGATAATGTATAAATGCAGCAATGTATATTTAACCCGTGATTAATGCGCATAATTCTTCACAATAACCTTCACAACTAATAATAGCTATAATAATACATTTGTACTTTAATCAACTTAAAAACCACTAACAATATAAAACTGTTACAAGTATCAATCTTTCAAGAATGAGATATCTTATCCAGACCTGGGGTAATCATTAATCATTCATTTTTAATCGATAACATGATTACCTCAAATCATCATGTAATTGATTACCTTGCCCAAAATTGATTATAATAGTTATTATTAGTCAATTACAGCTTAAATTCAGCCAGTAATTCTGATTACAATTTGATTGACATTCATTGCTATCAGATTTAACAGGAAACTATTTAAATTCAAATGATACCTTTATTTCACATGATACAGTTTAACCTTTTTTTACGGTTATACATTGAATGTAATCAGTTATCAACCAATTATTCTCTTAAAGTAATTGTAATTTAATTGATTACAGAGGCAAGTCTGAGTAATCAATCATAATCAATTACAAAAAAAATCTGAAAGTAATCATATTCAAATCAATTTCTGATCAATGCAATCATCCCCAGGTCTGATCTTATATGATCTATGAGTATGTTACCTTTGGAGCTTTGGGTTCATTGACTCTAAGGGCCTCTCTGAAGTAAGCATCAACAGCATAGTTAGCTTTTCTCTCACGTTTGGGAGGTTCGATCCAGTTCATACCAATCTTCTGTTTCTCCCTGTAGTCCTCTCCTTCAAACTTGTAAACTGACCCGCGTTGTTCTGTTGTATCAAACGACAAACCCTGTAAACTACCCTCACCCAGCTTGTCCAGTTTGCCTTTAATTTCTTCAGTCTAAATCAAAAATATATTTATGTAGCGTTTAAAGAAAGAAATACTACATGCAACAGCATTTTGCCTCATACAAGATTTTTTAGGTATATCGGTTGTTGCTTTAATGGTTCAACAGAAGAAATGCAAAAGAACTGAAACCTTGAACACAATCAAAGATCTAAACAACTACTAAAACAAGATCTACATCAATAGCTATTTGGTTAAAAAAGGTTAACTTGAAAAAACACATACTCTTGGTGATTTTAAACTTTTACATTTTCATTGAAATACAAACAGCTCTTGTAAAGATATTGATTACAATCTTGAATTAGTTTACTGCGAATTCACTTATATTCGTGGGCATGAAAGTTCGTGGTTTTATCAAAACGGGCATTTTCGTGGGTTCTTAAATTCGTGGATTTTCGTTTTCTTGTAAAAAAAAATTCAGAAATCTAATGCAAAGTAATCTTAATCGCCGAACAATTTTACTTACAACATGTACATATCTTTACTTGTCACACAGCGGTTGTCAATACATTTAATCCTTGCCTCTGGGCATAACTCTAATACAGCACAGTTACTGCCGATAATTGACTGCAATTAACACATTTATGCGACATGATATGCACCTCCATTGGACACACTGCCCCTGTAATTCGCTGATGTAAACATCGCATAATTTATACGACACCTGGCACGTTTTAACCAGCGAGATTAAAAGTTTACACTTAACATATTTGACAGTAAGTAACTACACGCAACGTCATAGCGACTGTGTAAATTTACATGCATATAAATTATTCTCGGTAAGTAAAACGAGTATATGTGGATCTTGTAAAAGTCGGTGGCGTCTTTAATGTTTGCGGAATAGCATTCGCACAAATACTGATTAAAATTCATATTAACTGGAGCATTTAAAAACAACAAAAGAAAGAACAATAAATCTGTTTTAGCGATCGTATTTTTTTTATAGTTTTGTGTACTTACGACATTAATATCAAAGACTTTTTTTAATTAATAAGAGCAAACTGACAATTTTTATTAGCGCTAATTATTGCACTGCCTGGGTTCCAATATTTACTCGATTATGTCTAGTATTCTTGTTAACACAATCAAGTCCTAGTAGACTACAACGATCAAGTATGTATATGCGACATTTATGACGGTAAAATTGAGGACATATAATCGAGTTTTCTTTTAAGTTTCTTAAATATTGCAAACGGATTTGATTTGTCACTAACCTGGTTATCTGTCTGTACTTTCATCCATTTCATGAAATATCGGCCGGAAAAGAGCCGACGCATGTTTGTAATATATAGAACAGAGACAGGGTAAGAAGTATTTGTTGGGATAAAAGTTCCTCGGATCTTAAATTCGTGGATTGACCTACCCACGAAAACCACGAAAATTCGTGCCCCACGAATAATAATGATTTTACAGTATTAGTTTGGAATAATTATGTTGTATTGAATAAGAAAGAGTAACCATTTATACAACTTGCTAGTGTATAAAATACCAAAGTTCATTCACCTTACTATGTATTCATCAGGGGTGTTTCACAGTGAAAAATTATATGTGTCTTGTACAGTTAAGTACTTACTTTCTTCTCTCCCTTGGTAAGTATTTCATCAATGTTAGCATCAGTAATTTCGCTGTCTTTAGATGCAAATACATGACTAGCTCCATGTCTAATCATATTCAACACTTCATCTTTACCTAACTTTGTTGCTGCAGCATCTACCAGACGCCCTGTAAAAATAAATCAAATGATTATAGGCCAGGAAATAACCAACAAATTTTAACACAAAATGTTTCAATAGGACAGGGATGCCCTAACATTCCATTGTTTTGTCAGTCAACAGTTAGACAGTACAACACATCAAGACAGTTTGTTTGATTGGGTTTTAAGTCACACTGACACAGTATAGGTCATTTAGCGACGTCCAGCTTTACTGGTGAAGGAAGACTTCAGATGCCCTTCCGTGCATTATTTCAGGCACGAACGGGCACCTGAGTAGAACCACCGACCTTCCATAAGCTAGCTGGATAGCTTCCTTACATGAAAGAATCCGAAGTCCCTGTCGGGACTGAAACATCAAGACATAGGCCAGACAGTATGATGGATTGACAAGGGCAAATCTATATGTCCTCCTTAAACAGCACGCCTCCAGATTAATGTTTATTTTCATGAAAATTTTGGAAATGAAATTAAATGTATATTATTGTATAGTAACCAAAAGGAATCATTTCACCCATTATCAATGGCACTTACAACCCATGTTTATTACAAAAAGAGGTCAAAATATGCAAAAAAAAATGCCCTTACTGCGTTAGTAACGCAGTAGAAATATAGTTACACATAACGAAAGAAATCACCATTAATCACTCAAAACATGTAAATTATTACTTTAATCTTTCTACTTTGCACATTTTTCACAAGTTTGATTTATTGAAATATTTTCGCTCATCTGGACGTATGCTGCATAAAAAAAACAAGAAACAAAGCCATTGTATGATATAAACAGTATTTGCCAGTAAGACAGCACACTGGATTCTTATAAAGTATTTGATGGCACAATATATAATGCCCAAATAAAATAAGAATTTTTGCAAAAGAGAATAATTCAGTCAAATTTATACTAAATAATGGGGCTAAGTTGTTGACCAACAATTATAATCCTTAAGACAAACTTATGTGTAAGTAACTTCTGTGATTAAAAGTATTTGCAGGTAAAACAAATGCAAAGACAGACATTGACACATTGGCAGTGTTTCTGCCAGCTCTGATTTTCTGAGGGTCTTTTATGACCCCCTGTATGATATTTTAGGGGTCATTTCAAATTCATAAGGGTCATGCCAATAAATTTAACAAAAATGTAAAAAAAAAACCAGGTAACACTTTATAAGTTTTATTTACAATATTTTGTATATTTTTCGTGAAGAAATTGGTCAATCTCTGCTATTTTGGATTATTTGTCATCCAATAATAACGCTGTATTTCTTAAAAATTATGTGTGTTAATTTTCATAGAAGAAAGAAAGTCGATACTATATTGAAATTCGTTCATATTCGCCTTCTATTTTTTCATAGTGCTTCATAGTACCGCCTAGTGACGTAATCAAGGGCCAAATTAAAAGCTTGACACTAAATATTTAGTGTTCATCCTTAGCTGTTTTACAGAAATTAGAAACATTCTCCTGTCGCTATCGCTCCCTTCGAAGTTTCTAATTTCTGTAGAACAGCACAGATGAACACTAACATATACGCAGACTGCATTTTCCAGCAGACAGTTATTCGTTTGCAGAATATGACGACAACAAAATAAATAATTTTGTTCTGGGCGCTTTCAATATATGCAGTAACGTATAAATGCAAGCGTTTATTAACTAGTTTGAAATTGGCTAAATGCCGGACCACGGACCCGGTAAATTTCATTTCTCATTAAAATTATAGTGGAGCCCACGGTAAACATTCCGTACATTTTTATACTGAATTGACGGTTTATAGTCTGTATATCTGACTTGTGTTGAAATCAGCGACGGTGAAATTCTTGCGTCACAAGAATACGCACTAACTAAATTTCATTGCGTCATGGCTGAAAATAGTGCGCCAAAAACGCAAAAACGCGCTCTGGCAGAAACACTGCATTGGTGAACAGGATAGGCCTAACATTCTTCCATAAGTAGCTAAACAATTCAAAATAGTATAGAGAAACAGTAAATATTTATATCATTATTATGTATAACATAAGAGAGAAATTGTGGTAAAAATATTATATTTGAAATGTATTACTTTTGTTCATTTAGTGATGGTAAAAAATGGCTCTTTGTGAAGACAACTACTGAGAATCATATTTTATGGATATATAGTTAGTTACCTTGCTGTATAACAATATTATCTAGACGTAATTTCATTTCAGCCTTCTCCACAATTCTCTCCTCAACAGTGTTCTCTGTGATAAATCTAAACACACGCACCTGTTTCTTCTGTCCTATACGATGAGCACGATCCTAAAACATAATATACATAATTTATAGATCTGAAATATTCTAGAACAGTTGATCCTTAACATAACATATATTTACATACCATATACATATTCCAACAGTTCAAATCTGTCAATGTTGATTAATATTTCAAACTATTCTTTTCAGTAAATCTATACCTTTATAAAGCAGATATAGAAATCACTGCGAATTACAAATTGGGTATTTCATAACCTTGACATAATTCAATTTTTATGTTATGAATTGTTTCGAGATCTTATCATTCACTAGAAAATACATCTTTTTGATCAGCTATATCCTTTCTTATTGATTTTTTCATAATATTCTAAAGTAAACAATGTGTTATCATGATGAAAAGTTACTCCAGAATGTATCAACATTTTACTCAACATTTTCAGCTTCAAATATGGTTAAAAAAGGTTACAAAATCAACTTTTCAGCTTCAAATATGCTTACAAAGGTTACAAAATCAACTGTCATAAACACCCTTTCAAAAATAATGATAACGTATTAAGTATAAAATTGGGACTTGAATACACTTCTTCAGCATAAAAATATCAATGAGAACATACAGAACAAAACAGAAGTAAATCAACATTTTCTGAAGCTTTATAATTTATCATGAGCCTGAACTATACATACAGAGATTAGATAAAACATGATACAAACAATGAAAAGTTTTTTTCTCTCACCTGGGCTTGTAGATCCACCTGTGGGTTCCAGTCCGAGTCATAAAGAATGACAACATCTGCTGTAGCAAGGTTAATACCGAGACCTCCGGCACGTGTACTCAACATGAATATAAACTTTTTACTGTCTGGGGCATTGTAATCGTCTATAGATATCTGGAAAGAGAGATTATTTGTATTGTCAAAAACCTGGTTTGCATGAATATGTCAATTTAAGAAGACATCAACATATCAAATATGAGGGTCTATGAAAAACAGTAATATAGATCAACAAGGCAAAGGCAACGTTTACAGGACGCAGGACCTTGTCTGAAATTCTCAGAAAAAACTGACTTTACTTCACTTCAGTGTTGTTATATTTTTCTGGTCCTTCGGGATCATTGATTCCAGCACTTTTAAGTGTTGAGAATTGAGTACCGCTCAAGCCAGTGCTAGGGGGCGTGAGGGATGTTGCACGTATTCATTATCCCTCATGTACAGATTCAATCAAACAGAGTCTGCAATTCTCTTGTAATTTTGTTGTGATTAATGCTTCCGAGGGATCACTTTGTTTCCAGATTTTTTCACATGACATAAAAACATAGAATGATCCAGAGGGCTCCATGCATCAATTGATTATAAACAGATGGACTATCCGAAGTTAAGCCAGCAAACTTGATTTATTTTGAAATGATTTATATCAATATCTTGTATAACATTTACTAAATAGATGTCTGATTTATATCAATATCTTGTATAACATTTACTTAATAAATGACTGTCTTCAATTATTATACTGTGCAAGTGGTTAAGTTAGCGATGTGGAAATATTGGCGAATTTTGCGAAATGACGAAAATCGCTAGAATTTCCGCTAGCATAAATATCAATCAATATGTCATTAAGTTTTACCCTTGCACGATTCCCTAATATTTCCAAACCTGTAATGTCTGGAATTTTAAAATCACTAACTTTTCGACACAGGGAAATATCCACTTATGCAGTACTACATAAATTATAATTTCAATAATACAAATGACATACTGAAACCGTCATTGGAGAGTAGATAGGATATTTCTATGAGTTTATACTTATCAAAGTTTTACCTGTCTCTCTGAATGTGGCGTAGATCCATCAAGTCGACAATATTGGTAATTCCTCCAGAAACAATAATCTTCCAGGATATCTAATACTCTAGTCATCTGACTGAATATAAGAACTCGTGAACCTGATGATATATAAATAATTATTATACTATATTATTACTTTAATAATAATATCTGACGTGTTGCCGTTCAGAATATCCGTCACAAGGGGACCTGCCCATGTTCCTGAAGGACGGATATTCCGATTCGAACCGCAAAAATGTCAGATATTTTTTCTTGCAAATTCAACCATATTCAATTATATTTCGAAATCCTTTACCTTGATAAAACAATTTTCAATGGAAATTTATGTCATTACATCCATTACATTACTTTTTTCTTACAACAGTGTATGAAATTAAAACTTCATTCATAACGGCAAAATAACGTCATCCTAAGGATGACATTGTATAGCATGCAACTCAATTTCAGATTTTCAAATTCTCAGATTTTCTTAACCGTTGGACTTTCACCGTTGAATAAAACTCATAAAATACCTTCTGACTGGAGTCTTGGGAGAAGTTTATCCAAGATAACCAATTTACCACAGTTATCAACTAAATGCTTGTCTGTAGTGTATGGTGGTCCTAAAATAAATAATATATATGTATAACCTTACATAATGTAAACATCTTAGAAATGCTTGTATAATATGAAGTCTACATTTTCTAGAACTTATCCAGTTTTTCCTTACATTCATCAAAAATAAAATTAAATCATCTTTAAATCTTAATCACAATCAAAATAAATGTAAATGGATTGCAAACCAATGTTTTTAGCTCAAAATGACTGAACAAAATAATTTTGCAGTAGATATGACACACATACTAATCCTTTAAAGCTATCATTAAATCAAATGTTTGTAAGAACAACAAATTGTGTGACATAATTAACATAAGAGGGATTTTTCTAAAATTTTGTGACGAGACGAACCAATAATAATGTTGGATATTAGGAAAATTAAAACAAACATACCAAAGAAATGTTTAGTCATACTATATTGGTATTGTAATATTAATATACCTCTATAGAAACATTTTATTTAAAAGGCTATAAAGCTATATCTTATGGAATATTGTTGTAAAATTTATCAACAGTAAAATAATATTGGTTCAATTATTATATGGTGGATTCCCAAAAAAGTTGTAACATAGAATGTCTCTGTTTTTTTAACACACATGAATAATGTATATAAACAGGATAAATGTTCCGGAACAAAATATTATTTGCTATATTGAGTAGCGTTTTATTTGCTTAGCATGCATCATTTGCTTTAAAGGCAATTATCTACCATATTTATTTCATACAAGCATTTTGGAAGTAATCTTTTTTAAATTCAAACCATAATTATTGTAGCAGATATATAGCTTTATACACTTTAAGGACATACCTGGTTCAGCTCCATCAAACAGATAGGGATGATTACAACATTTCCTCAGCTGCATGAGAATGTTGAGTAATCTCACCTTCTCTGATTTACCAGCACCATTCACTACATCTATATCCTTCATTAAAATCTTTGTATACCTGATGACATCAATATATCATATATAAGAAAAAAATATATCTAAGAATTGATTAACAAGTACAGGGTTTTCATTTCTATATGAGGCAACAGATGAGCCAACGAAAACATCCACTTTGGCCAGGGGTCAAGGATGATATTTTAATCTGCAGGCTGAAAATACAACCAATTTTAACAACATTTCAACTGATTATATGGATCGCCAATCTGTTTATAATGAAAACCCTGCAAGAACAGTAACTGGAAATGGAAATAAAATAAATTTTGATATCAAGCATCACTATTTTTCAATTCAACAATTCTTACCGAGGTTTTAATGGATACATTTATCAAGTAAATAAAGGAAACATTATAAAGTATCAGGATTTAAATATTCACCTCTTGCCGCCAGCAGGTAGTGAGAATAACTGACCTTTGCCACTAATATACACTAATACTAGACTTAAATATACATCATTTTCAATACATGAATTTTGACAAGCTAAAGCCTTAAAGAATAAAATAGTTCTTACCATTCTCTCTGCATTTTACTAAGACCAACAAAGATTTTTGTTTCCTTTTTTGGTAGTAATCTTTTCTCTACTTCCGACTTCAAACGTCTCAGTAAAAATGGTCTCAATACCTATCATGATAACATAGCAAAAATAAAATTATTTTTATATTTTTGGTTGGGTTTTACGCTGCTTTATGTCATACCAACACAGTAGGTCATATGGCCAATTTGGAGTTTTACTGTTGGAGGAAGACGTCAAGTGCCCTATCCCAAAAGGGACACCTGAGTAGAACTGCACTCGAGTTATCTACTTTGACTCAGTCTAAGCCATAAAGGTCATGTTTGTTCTTGCTGTTATTAATAAACATGTATGATGTATAACCTATTCCTCCCTGCAATAATACAAATACTGTTAGACAACAAAGCCAGTATGAAATTATCTCAATAATAATATATTTTAAGATATAGAGCTATGTTTGTATGACACATGTATATAAAATAATTATACTTACACCATGTAATCTCTCCACAAGCTCCTTGTTCATCTCGGATGCATTAAACCAGGAATCAAAGTCCTACAATCATATTATTAGAGTATTGAAACAACATTATAACACAAGTAGGGAAAAAATCACACATCAAGTACTATTTGAGACTATAGATTAGGAAATAAGATGCTAAAATGCCTAGATGTTACATAAATGCACATTTCAGAGTATAAATTAAACTTAACACAAGGTCAGCATATTTTTTTTCCCCTTCCATGACCATTATCTTTTAACAGCTTTAGAAAAGAAAGACAACTCTTACAGGTTTATTCTTTCATTTATTTTCATTTAAAGTCTAGGTTATTTGTGATAATCTCCCTTTAGATAGAAAGTAGACTATATTAAAGTAACACTTTGTAAAATAAGCATTTTGTATATAAAAGAAATACAAACATCAGCAGAATTGAACACATCTGGTAGGAGGAAGTTAAGCAAGGCCCACAACTCATGTAGATTATTCTGTAGTGGAGTACCAGTCAGTAGTAGTCTATTAGCTGTCTTAAACTCTCGTACTATCTCAGATAACTGTAAACAAACCACAAACAATGAGCTATATAATATATAATATACCATAATAAACTAAACATTACAACAGAGTAGGTTTCCAGGTAAATATCTGAATAACTTTCCATGGATACAGTCTTAACTGATGGAACTACATACTGTGCTTAAAGATCCTACATGTTGTAATTATCGTTGTTATCACACTTTTATGAAATTTTATATATGTATATAACTATTCATCTAAAACAATTTTCAAACATCCAAGAATATGTTTAATATGTACTGCAAATATATAAATGCATTTTATATAACAATTAAAATATATATGCATTCATTTCCTATTGAAACATTTGGCTTAGACTTTATAGAAAATAAATTTCTATTTACCTCCCTTTATTTACATTAATGTAATATCTTTACAAATAATGCTTTTGGAACTTACAATATTGATAAATCTTCAGCATCATATCATTGATATAAACCCATAAAAATTGAGTTACAGGATCTTTAACTGACATACAGAATACAAAGATATACAAACATGTATATAGTTTGACTATGCATTATAAAAGAAACACTTTGATCCATTTATTTAAATAAGCTAAAAATGTAAGAAAGAAATTCAAAAACAAAATTAGTTATACAATTACTTTATTTTTCCATAATCAAGTTAGAAAAGAACGAAATATAACATTTTCATTTAGGTAGATCAAGACAAACCTTTGACTTTTCATTTTTGATTCTATGGGCTTCATCAATGACCATGTATCTCCAGTTAAACTTTTTAAAGACAGATTTCTCCTTGATTATCATTTCGTATGATGTTATACACACATCCCATTCCCCAGGCATCATTATATCTCGGATAATTTCGGCCTGAAAATTGAAATATACACACACATTTATATGCTGTTTTTCTGTAACTGAAAAAAAAATTTCTTGTTAAAATATAATTATAAAACAATAATGAAATGATAAAAGAATATTGTTACCATTAAGTTGCTTTTTGTATTCAGTTTAATAACAGTTTATGTTAATGAATAACGAATGTTATGTCATTCTTTGATAAGTTTTAAAACAAATTTATTTTAAGAAGTCATTTTTTTTTTTTAAAAAGCAGTACATTAATTACTTAGGCAGGTTAATATACCATTTTAGAGTACAATAAAGAAATACCTATACATTCTGGGGAATTGAGTTAACTCAGGGAAAATATGACATTGTGATAAACAAACCACTAACCATATGGTGCATGATAAGATTATACAGAATACAAATGATATTTTAATGCAGCGAAAAATAATTCTAAAGAAGGTACTTATATTTGTCATAACTAGTGATTTTTTATCATATATATTCTAACATATAAATGGTTGGTACCCTTTGTTCCTGTGATCCTATAAGACAGACAGTACGTAGACTGGGGCACCAGCGCTTGTGTTCATTACTCCAGTTAGAGAGTGTAGATTTAGGACAGATGACAAGATGAGGACCTGGTATATGTCTGTAATGTTTCATGTAGCCTAGCAACGAGATTGTTTGTAATGTCTTACCCAAACCCTGAAATGAGACGCAATACAAGATATCAATATTACACTGCATTACCTTTAACAACACCTGAAATATGACTTATATTATATGTACATGTGTATTATGTAATATGTGTTTGAATTTGAAATACAAATGTACCACATATATATTTGTGAATAATTTTCGTGTAATTATTTAATTTTCTTTCAATTCTCAGACATAAAAGTTTGTAAAATTATTAAATGTACAGTAACTTTGTATGACTAATACTATCAAGAAATGTTCAATCAGAGATTATCTGGCTACTATATAGGAAAAACCTTTTGTATTTATTTTATTATTTTTTGTTAAGTCAGATGAACATTATCTAGTAAATAATGAGATATTGTAATGTTGGACATCAGTGGAGCAACTGCAGGTACTAGCAGTGAATCTGGTATTGTATAATGCTGCAAGTTTTACATGTAGAACATTTTTTATGTTTTTTTCCAAAAAACATAATATCCCCTTTTCTAAAGATATTCAAATAACTGTTAACATAGACACTACTTATTTTCATGAAAGAGAAAGATTGATTATAAAAGTAAATCTCTGTCTAATGCACAACTAGTGTTTTAAAGTATATAAAGCTATATATCTGCTGAAAAAAATTATTGTTTGAATTTCAAGAAAGGAATACTTCCAAAATACTTGTACGAAATAAATATGGTCGCTAACTGCCTTTAAAGCAAGTGGCACATACATGAAATCATTGCTAAAAGGATTAAACCCTATTTAAAATAGATAAACGATATTTTGTTCTTGAACATTTTATTCTGTTTATGTACAATATCCATGTGTGTTAAATAACAGAAACATTCTACATTTCCACTCTTTCATATATTGACCTTAACGTTATGGAATCATTATATTTTTACTGTTGATAAATTTTATGAAACTATTTCATAAGATATACCCTTTAGATATTGAGTATGACATAAAATGATTTACCATTTCATCAGCTAATATACCATTGATACCATTTTCATACAAGTTGATCATCCAATTAAGACCCCTGACCTGGTAATCTCTCATCTCACCACCCTTGATGTCTGAAATATATATATCCAAATATATATACTTAGAAAATAACGATATATTACACTGACATATACTGTATATTACATTATTCAATAATAATTATCAAAAAAATTGACCCACAGATTAAAACTTGCATCATAATTTGTTAAATGTGTCACGGGTCATTTTATTTGTTATGTTAATTGTTCATTTTGCCGTGCGCTGTTATCGTCTGCTATTGTATTGAACAGACGCCACGGAGACAAACGATAATCGACGCATGCGCAGACATTAAGAATATTTTTCCCCCGACTGAATGAGGAACAGTGCACTGCAAAATGAACAGTTAATATAACAAATAAAATGACCCGTGACAAATGCTTATAACAATAAATTTCATATTTTCACATTTCTACTGTTGACTGTTGTTTTGAAATTAGCAATGGTTTTGTCAAATTTATTTTTTGTATAAATGATATCACATACACCGAGGCACAGGAGTTTAATAAAGCCATTTAATGAAAATGATATTACACTAGTGTAATAACACTTTGACATAGTCTCATTTTTATATAAACACAGTTTATCGTTCGTTTTTTATATATGTGATAAATAGAATATTATATTCATGTAGATTCAATACTAAATTTATTGAATTGTTGGAGAAAACAATATTATGATCATCAGAGCCTCGCATAATATGATTTTTATTCTACTCGTTCAATTAAATCAGTATTAAATCTACACTTATTCAATATCCTCTATTAATTCTTACATGAAGGGCTTTCCTCAAATCTGGTTACAACAGCAGTAGACTTCTTGGCTTGTGAAATCAGTTCTTCATCTTCCTCTGTCTCAGTACGTCTATGTCTATGACTGAAATAGTTAACATATATATTAGTTAACTAGTTATACATGTACAATAAAGTGACTGAAACAGCCACAGAATTAGAATGCAGTTTACAATAAACTAGCTGTAGATACACTTTGCTAACTTGATAAGCAGGTGAATTTATTAGCCAATTCATAGTCAGCATCCAGTTAACCAGATATAGATGCACTATGATAATCAAAAGACTGAAATAGGTAATATATACTAGTTAACCAGCTATAAATGTACTATGATAATCAAAAGTCTGAAATAGTCAACATACATGTATATACCAGTTAACCAGCTATAAATGTACTATGTAAAACCAAGTCTGAAATAGTCAACATACATGTATATACCAGTTAACCAGCTATAAATGTACTATGTAAAACCAAGTCTGAAATAGTCAACATACATGTATATACCAGTTAACCAGCTATAAATGTACTATGTAAAACCAAGCCTGAAATAGTCAACATACATGTATACACCAGTTAACTAGCTATAAATGTACTATGTAAAACCAAGTCTGAAATAGTCAACATACATGTATATACCAGTTAACTAGCTATAAATGTACTATGTAAAACCAAGTCTGAAATAGTCAACATACATGTATATACCAGTTAACTAGCTATAAATGTACTATGTAAAACCAAGTCTGAAATAGTCAACATACATGTATATACCAGTTAACCAGCTATAAATGTACTATGTAAAACCAAGCCTGAAATAGTCAACATACATGTATACACCAGTTAAGCAGCTATAAATGTACTATGTAAAACCAAGCCTGAAATAGTCAACATACATGTATATACCAGTTAACCAGCTATAGAGGTTCTACAGATAATGCAGGGTCAACATGTATAGAACGATGTACGACTGCCAAGGACAACAATTAATTAGATTAATCAGTTGATCAGTCACAAGGACAGACTACATAAATTACCCACAACTGCATCATATTAAATGGTTCTTTAAAACAATCAATATGCTAGTCAATTGACTGGCTACAGAAACATGACAATCAGGTAAATGAAACATATTCTCTTAGTCGGACATTGATGCACCACTGATTCACTATCATTAATTCACTGTAGATATTAAAAATACATATACCTTTCCCAGTTAAGATAAAGTAAAATGGTAACCATAGACTGTAACAAATTTCATATAATAAAAGCAATCAATAAACCTGTCAGCTTCAGCTTACAATTTAGTTTTGACACAGCTTATGTACAAGTTCATTACTGCATCAGATATAGTCATATAACAACAGCATCTTATCTTTTATCACATTTGAAAAGCTTCATTTAATTCTTTCAATAACAGTATCATCAAAATAAGTATATCAACAACAAAAGCATTCCAAAGACGTTGGAAATGATTTCTGAACAGGCAGATCATGAAGTTTGTAAAGAAAACGCATGCACTCAAAATTAGTAAGAAATAGTAGTAAGAAAGCATAAAGTGTGCAAAAAAAGTAAAAACAAAAATAACATGGTGTGGTTACTTACAAGTTTGATTATAAAAACATAACTACAACTTGAAATTGACTTACTATGTTGTAAATACTATTTAACTGCTTCAATCAAGTAACAATTTTATGTGAGTGTGGAATTCAAGATTTGTTTTTGTAACTTTGACCTTGACATGAGGATGCAATTTTTCAGGCAATTTAGTAAAACCATCATCTTACCATTGAAACTTACTAAATGTATTTGTTACATCGATTAATGCACAGAATAAATACATGAAAATATCTTCATACGATATAAATCAGCATACGGCATTTTGGCCTTTCAATAACATGTTAATCAAACAATATAACAGGTTTAGTTTTAACCTTATACCTAGAACATTCTTACCTAGCAGCACCTTTAACTGGAGATCTTATAACAAACCAAGCAAATATTAAAACTATATCTAAGCTATCAAACAAAAATACTACAAATCAATTAAAAGCATGCATACCATTCATTTATATTGTCTCCAAGGTGTGATATATTGTACTTTTTAGAAAGTTACAACAACATAGGTAAGATGGAAAATACAAGGCTGGGAACATGTACACAAGTAAAATAGTCAAATTGATGAGTTACAATCTACCAAAAGTTCTAGATCAATGGTAAAAACAGTAACTGATAAAAACTAACTGTATATAATAAATATTCTAATATGACTGCAGTTACTTCATTACTAAACAATCAAAGGCCTTATGTGCACAAATGTATATATATATATTCTAACATGCTTACATTATTTCCCTGTCAATCAGATACAGCTGTTGAATGCATTATTATTACACTACAGTATATATGCATGTAATATGATGTCTATAAACCAAATGACATCAGGGAAATTATTTCTACACTCAAATATAGTTAAACATATTTTAATCAATTCTCTTTTTTATTAGCATGTTAGAATGGAAATAGATATTAACTTTTCTTGTGTTGTAGTGTAACAATGCAAGATCTATCAAGCAAATGCCTTTTAATCATTTACTCAGGCATATCAGCCTTTGCTATTATATTCCTGTGCATCTGAACTCCGACCGTGCACTATTCTACAACATCATATTCAAAATTGATATCTATTTCCTAAATATAAACACTGTTTGTGTAAGAAAGGAAAATTGACTGACTGTTGTATGACATAAGGTAAATTTACTTTGATGATGAACAATGTTTGATAAATTTCCACTGATTATTTTGTGCGAGTAACTTAGAATGGAAACAGATTGATGATAAATAATTCTCTTCACAATTTATTACCTAAGAGAGATTTATATGAAACAAGTCAGAAATATCTTAGATTTTCCTGAACAAGGATAAGTGAACTATTAGAATAAAGTTATACTCCAAGGCAATGACCATATATTTCCTTACTGTCGCCAATACTCTATATGATGAAACGGATACTTTTTTTCAGAAAGCAAAAGCATTAGAAGTTTTCCTATAAAATTTATAGAACTCATCTGGAGATGAACTTTGTCAATTTTTTACAGATTGTGCCAATTTATAATTTAGATTACCCCTTCATAAAATGAGATACACACAACCTAATTTCCAAAGATAGAATTTGCAAATTGTTAAAAGAGTTATCTTTTAAACACAGGGCTCCAGTAACTTTATACGAAACTGGGGCCAGGATGCTTGAGCAGGGGTATTTTTGGGTGTTTTGAGGAAACAATGAGAATTTTTCCTGTCAAAATCATTACTCTTGATGTTAAGTATCATATATTTTACTTTACAAAAAGCAAATTGCAGTATGATATTTGAATAAAGGGTTAAGGGTCTCAAATATTTACATTTTTAGGTGTATTCTATTCTCAAAAATAAAGAAAAATGTATATATTCAATGGGAAGGTGACTGGGGCCAAATATCAGCCCCAGAAATCTGAAATTAAGGAACTACCTAGACATACACAAAACTGTCACTTATAAAATTTAGTAAATAACAAATTTTTATTGGCCCAAAAAATCGTAAAATGAGGGCCCTGTTACATATAAATATAATTGTCACTCTTAATTTATAGTAAATTACAATTTTTTATTGGTCTGAAAAATCGTAAAATGAGGACACTGGTAAATGTAACTGCCATTCAAAGAAATCTATCTTAATTAGAAAATTACAAATTTTATGCTTGAAAATTCACCTATTCAATAAAATCTACTATCAAATTTTAATGAGGATGTTCAGAAGATTATTAGAAGACACGTTGTTCGCAACAAGTAAGGACATAGGGACGTACAATATATGGTACAAATGAAGAAAAAAATAGCTTTAGTAAGACGCTAGATATATTGTAAAGAGAATTCATAGACTGTTGTTGGAAATTTATGTAATAGCAAACTTGAAAATCAGAACATATTACCTCAAATACTGACCACATAAGGGGGAGTGGCAGGCTAGTGGTTAAGGTGTCTGCCTCTCAACCCAAATATCATGGGTTCAAGTTCTACTCAGGTCACGATCATGTTTTTTCATATGACACCAGTACTGGTTGGTTCCAGGAAGCGGACTTGAAAGTGATTAATATAAGTTGCAAGAACTTGTTTCGCAATCGAGCTTAAATAAATATGTTCAAACTAAACACTGTCGATTTCACTTGTCATTGTAAATATAATATTATAACTAAATCAGAGGCTAACTAGTCCTATCACTCCAGTCATAGAAACAACAAAACAACACTGGCATACAAGCTTGTGTACAAATACTGAGTTTATTCTACAAGGGTTATTGAAAATAACTACTTACTCTCCTGGATCACCTGATTTTGAACGCCTGAATTGAAATATTTCTTTTTGTTATTTGATGGAAATACAGTACTGAACATTTACCATTGGTAGCTGTTTCAGCGGAAATGTGTAAACAGTTTTTTATTGATGCTAATTCAAATAACCCAGAGCTTTCTCAATTCTCAAATCACTGCCACAAAATGTATAAAATATAGATTGCTAACAAAATTAGATATTTTGGTCTTTGTGTTTTGAGACAATGGTCGAGACATTGGTCGTGTAATTTTGTTTTTCATTTTTGTCTATTAATTTCATAATAAAATTAATTTATTAATAAAAGTTCTTCAAAGCTTACGTTTTATATAATGATAATAAGAAGAGATAACAAGAGCTGTTGGAAGGACAGCATGTTCCCTTTTCTTCAAATAGTCAAACTTCAAATTTTTATGTCAACTACAATCACTATTATGATTGTAGAAGACAAACTGTGACCTGGAGATGATACCATAAAAATCATCAGAAATTTAGTTAATATATCTACCATGCATGTACATGTTGCAAACAGGACTCTAAAAACATTCCTTTAAATTTTAAGCTTATTTTAATATGATCAACTTCAACATAACTGCCTGCATACATTTAACTTGTTAATTATGTAACTGGAGGGCAACATGACAGTCTATTTCATACATACAGATCAACAATGGTATGAAAGACTTTCCTGCATATTGGTTTGATGTCAATCATGTTTTTAACTTTTTTCAATCTGCAGTTATCACATCTGTCTTACTTTCTGTTCAATTTTTAGCAAATTAAAAACCTTAAATAACTGTTTGACAGGAAGTACTACAATTATTGTACCAATGGCAGGAAAGTACTTACAACCATGCATAACCTCTACACGAGCATTTATTTGCAAGATTCTTTATTAATCAGAAACAGAATAATACTTACTCTCCTGCCTCCACCAGTTTTGCCTTCTCTGCAAGTTTACTTTTGGACTTTTTCATCTTGAGGGGGCTGGAAGGTGATTTTGTGTTACTATTCATGCCAGTCATCATAAAGTGAGCAAAGATCTCAGTCTGTTTAAGCAGGTATTCAAACCTATTACCTCTATCAGATTCCTACAAAGAAAATTACAAATATTAATCAAAATTTGTTACATTTACCTCAGCTCACGACTTCCATTGTAAATACTTCCCTATTCCCTACTTCTGTTTGTTTGTTAGACGCTTCCTTATATTACAGATAAGTATTGATTTTGATTTATATTTCTAGTATTACAAACCAACAATGAATAACTTTAGGTTTGATTAAGTTCCTAACAAACAATGTATCACAACATGCAAGTTTTAACAGTTCAACTATGTACCCATCTATGAAGGGTTGATTATTTTTTCTATTCAATTTTTTTGCATGATACAAATTACTAGAGTAAGTAAGCAACCTATATCTAAGAACATTTTTACATCTGATCAATATCGACAAGGTAAATATAGTTGTTTAAACGTATTTTAATTTATTTAAGCTTGATTGCGAAACAAGTTCTTTTAAGTTATATTAATCACTTTCGAGTCCACTTCCTGGAACCAACCAGTTCTGGTGTCATATGAAGAAACATGGTCGTAACCCTAGTAGGTGTTTAAAACTGCCTATAAAGATTTCAAAACTAGTCCCTAGGTTTTAGGGAAAATAAAATATGATAGGTAGAAGTAACTCTTACTGATATCTTCGCAATCTTCTAACTACAAAACTGACATTTCTGTTAGTCTCTGCATTTGTTGTTAAAAAAATTAATCAAGAGCTATAGTCAAATGTGGCGCACTTACAATTTTAGCATCATAGTCCTCTTCTTCTTCCTCTTCTCCTTCAGCATTTTTACCTTTTGGTGGAGCCTTTAATAGCACAGACGGACCTGGTACCTGAAATATGACAAACCAATCTAATGTTACAGATAATTGTTATGTTCGTATTTCCATTGAAGACAAAATATTCTGAATTGAGTTTTAGATTCAGTAATTAACAATTATCTCAGTGTACCCGGTTCCTCACATTTTCCCTTTTTTTCTCTCTCTCTCTTTTTTTTTAAATTAAAGTGAATTAAATCAGTTTTCCTTTGTGTTTCAATGAACTGGGATATTTTATACAGGATAAGAAGGTGTCTTATCCTGTATAAAATATCCCAGTTCATTGAAACACAATACCGCAACAAAAAGAAACAAAATGATTACTACAAACGTGTTTGTATATCAGGGCCCACACTGGCTCAAATAAAATAATAGCCAATATTTTTTACTTAAGAATACACCCATAAACAGTTTCAATCAGAGCTACGTAAACAACTGAGGTATATCAAGTGAAAAAATACCAGTTGTTTCCCTTATCTTCGAGTAAAATCGATATCTCTTATAAATGCTAAAAATATACAAATTAAACCATTTGTAAACCACTAGTTTGTTGTGATTTAATGTCCGATTTTAAAATCTATTACACCAATGGAAAGCTTTGGATCTTAGCTTTGTCACAGGATATACTTCAACACATCTTTTGACACCAAAGTATTTAAATTAACTGTTTAACCTATGGTACATATATCAGACCATTTTACATGATTTATACAGTGAGATACGCAACGGGTTATCGTTATTCTCAAAACTACTGATAAGAATAGCCTGTTGTCTGCTAGTTCTGAAACTGTTTATTGGTGTATTGTCAGAACAGGATTCGAGTGGACTGGAACATTGTTCTGGACTACTTTTTTCTGTCCTGACAAAGGAGGTGGTGTAACGGGAACACTGACAATGGGTCTGCGCGAATTATGGTCCAGAACAGTCAAATCCAAATTTGTGTGGACTGGAACATAGACAATTTCTTTATGTCCCTACGAAGGTGGTGGTGTAGCTGAAACTGTGATGTAACACTTCCTGTCTAGAACCAGTCCGGAACTACTCGGATTACGTTTTAGAAAAAAAAACATGAACATGTCTTGAAGTTGAACACATGATTCGTGCAGACTAGTCCTAGAAAAAGTAAAATGCATATCAATCATTCAAAGTCATGAGAGAGTAATAAAGTTGTGAAAAAATATGACAATTTAAAGATGAAAAAATCTACTGAGCTATTCATGACAGTATCATAATTCTAAGCATTCGTAAAATCTAAATATTTTTCCACATACTGCCAGTTTTCAATCACAACCACTTTTCAATCATCCCCGGAAATTCTTTATTTTCGACCTTATTTGTCATGTAACCAAACTGTAAGCACATCTTGTATTTACCTTGACTACATTTATCAGCAGCAATGTCAATTATGGCGTTAATAAAGAAAATAACAGTATTTTAGTTCAAAATATGTAAAATTTGTGTTTTCCACTAATCCTTTATTTACCCAGTTACAAATCGCAATAATTTTCTAAAAATAATTGATTTTTGTCAGTCTGCAAAAATGGATATTAAGTTAGACAACTGTTTCAATATCATTAAGTCATAATGTATACTGCACTTCAAAAGCTATAATTTTAATATGTACATATTTTACCTTACAATTCTTAATTGGAAGGTTATACGTCAGTAAACTAACAGTCACTTAACCAAGGATAACATTCTCTCTGATAACTTTTCAGAAAGCTGTCACTAGAATGGGGTCATATAGACCCCAAGATCCTAAAAATTTCACAAGAACATGCTTTTTCTGTTATGCACATTGAGATGTACATCCATACCCCAAATGTGACAGCTTTACTACTGCAAAAAGAAATCAAGATTGAAAAATGTCATTATAAATAGGTTAAAATTTTACCTGAATTATTATTATGAATAGAGGACAAATCATTAAAATTAGTAATGATTTGTCCTCTATTCATAATAATAATTCAGGTAAAATTTTAAAAAGTTGTTGCATTTATCAGCTGAAATGATAATATTTGCAAAATTGTAAGAGAAATTTTATTTTTATAATTTCACTGTCAGTTATTATAGAAAAATCTGTTAGCTGATCGGAAAGTGGCAGTACGGGGATATATCCTTGTGCCTTTGTGGCTTTGTTCGCTAACAAATTGTTAGACCAATTTCAAAAATGAGCATGAAGCTTTAATAAAACGACAAAAGGAATGTTCAAGTTTATTTCATCTTACGGACTCTTCCATTTGCTCGTCACTTGTACTTTCTGACTCTGAATCAGACATGTTTGTATAAAAAAAATGCCGATTTTACAACAACAAAAATTGCCGGCCTTTTTGGCGCAGGTTACGGTCTCGCAAAGTCTCGAATGCGAATAAAGTCTGTGATGAAACGTACCTAATCCTGATTACCTAGGTACAAGGATACTAAATATTTAGCTGTTAATCAAGTAAAAAAAATACATGTATAAGTAGCTGAAAATATTAGCTTTTATTTTAGGAGAAAGAAACATGCACCTGTTACCGCGCACTATGTGAGGCATTTTCGTTTCCTAAAATCTTTTTATTATCGATTATTTGGCAGAATTACTTTTTGTCTAAGATTAGTAAATTTTAGCAGGCTTTGTATATAAAATTGAATCTATTAATTTTCCTGATTTATTTGTTCGTTTAATTTGTCTTTTTTTCCCAGTATGACATATATTTTGGTTTCAATCAGTTATCTATCTTTTTCTAAAATTCTACGTTGATATTGCAAAAACAAAGAAATCAGTCAGAAAGTTAATTAAGGCCTCAGATCAAGTAAATTAAACTTTGATGGTTATGAAATTCCTATCAATACTCGTATTTATACAGATTTTATGAATCGTATGCTTGTGGGGTATTTTGATGATTAATGAATTTTTGATTGAAGTTAAAGATAATTGTAAAGAAATTCCATTTTGTTCTGTTTTGTAAATCATCCACTATTTCAAACACACAAGCATTTTCTGGTAAAATGCTGAATTCTGCTTCAATATAAAGTTCGATTCTTTGTTTAGTTATTAATGAGCCAATGTTTCTTATTTTACTTTAAATTGATGGAGATACACTTGTGAAAATCAATTTTAGGCTCGGGTGTTATATTTTTGTTTTACAGCCATTGTCCACTACTTTGTGGGACAGCCATCGTATACGACAAGGATTGTAAACTTAAAATCCAAGCGGGGTGGTTTGAAATTTTAAATATGATCGTTTTTATAATGATATTCACAATTTCTTTGTTTAGACTGATAACTAATACAAAAGTATTAATCTTGACAAGATAGATACATAAAAAACTCATTTTTTCAAAACATTACAATACGCACAAACAACTTCAAAGACAACCCATTACATTGAAATTACCTTTATGGAAATCAGTTGTTTGAGTTTAGTAATAAAAAAGCGTGTCATGTTCAATAGATAGCTTTTGTCTGGTAACTTAACGGTCATGGATACTATTACATTATTTTCTAAAACTAGAAAAAGTCAGTCCTTAAGATGTGAATGATCCTTTTTTATTTTTTTCAAGACAAACATTGTTTTAAACGTCGCAATAAAAAAATATTTTCTTTTTTCATAAAAACGTATACATTTGTCAATAGCAGCACTGAAGAAATTCAATCCAAGGTTTATCTTTGTATAACGTTGAAACGTTGTATTTATATAAAATTGAGTAATGATTGTCAAATTTCTATGTAATTTAAACATTTAGAGGGACCTCGACCTGATCATGCTTCTGATCGATAATACAGGCCAAAATGCTTAAATTGCTGAGATTGCATTATTTGAGGAAAATGGGTGAATGTTTAACAGGTTGCAACGAAAACATGGATTTTTGTTTATTAGATAAATTGTAGTCAAGATGAATTAATAATAACTCTTGTCTTGACTTCAAATATGAATCATGAAAGTAAAACATTCTTTTGGTTTAGTAATTGCTCAATTTTACTGAGCACGTGTGTATCCACTAATTCTCAACCTTTTTATATGTTATAAACGATATGATATGTCAGTGGCTACGTTCCGTGTACACTTAAATTTTGTAATTCCGCATATAAATTTAAGAATAACATGATCATTAAGCAAGGGAAGCATTCAATGAACATTGCAGTCCAGATAATTTTCTTGAAGGAAATTGTCATGTTTTCTTTAATGTCATGTCAGTATGATGTTGCCAGTGTCGTGATTCAATAAGAGATTAACAGATATTGCGAAATCTTGAACTAAATCATTCATCAAAATGTTGATTAAATAAATACGAAGCCGGTGTTTGGGTGCGTGGGAAATAATATTGCTATCAAACTTTGTAAATCTTAGCTGCTGCACAAAATATAGCCAACATTTCAGGCCAGGTTTTACTCATAAATGAGAAACAGATTGAAACGACATTGATTGTTTATTCGTATCTTTTTATGACTAACTATTCTAGAGCTATAAAATATCATATAAGCTATGATTATAAATCATCTAAAACATATGAGCTACGATAAATGTATTTCCATAATTTAAATCTGTAAAAAAATTGCGAACCCTCCTGGGCCCGCGCCTGTACAAATAATGAGTAATTTAAAGCGATGGTTAAAATATAATCAACCAAACAATATGTACTCCATATTAATTCATACATTTAGTCATAAATAAAAACTAATGTCTTATGTCTTTGCATATTGGGTGTGTCACACCGACAGATTTGTGATTTGTTGTAGCCTTTCTTCGGGTAAGCCGTTCCAAACATCTAATACAAATAAACACAATTTCTCTTCGCATTCCAAGCAAATCATTTCGGCATGTGCTGTCCTGTTTGATATTTATTGTATTTTTTTTTCAAGTATCTGGTGGCATACAGTTAAGTGGCAATATAGGTGAAGGAATTCAAGAATGGCTGGGAGTGCGTTTAAGATACCCATCGAGCACGTAGAATTGTGACGAATACAGACCAGTTAAAAAGTTTGTTGCGATGTGATCGTAGAATTACGTGCGAAATAATAGCTGTGTATGAAATTAGTGTAGGTTCAGTCCATACTTTTTTTGCGCAATCGTATCCGTTAGGTGGGTGCCATATTGTTTGACGCCGGGTAAAGCGGAACGTTGTTTGGAAGTTACCACCAATATGCTTCGGAAGGGTAAGACATATCAAGAATCGTTGCTGTCGATGAAACGTTGATGGGGTCTTATGAACTGGCAATGGAAAGACAATCAGCCGATTGGCACACACCAAGCTCCTCAAAAGATAGGAGAACTCAATCAAACCTCAAAATGTTGATGACTTTTGCCTACGGTAGACTTGGAATTCAAACAAGTCACAAGGTTGAGAGTGGAAAAACCATTTATGAGAAACACTAAGAGAAGTATATTAAGAAAGCACGTTGGCAGGCAATCCACAGAAAGAAACCTGATTAGCAGACTGTCCAATACTTCTACATGACAACGCAACATCGCACGGCGCACACAATGGCAGAGCGTTATGAATTGGAAACACTGCACAATCGCCCTCATTTTCCGGACATGAGTCCCTGTGACTGTCACCTTGTTCCCAAACTGAAGGAGAACATGAAAGGTATTCGTTGTAACGTTTTAGAGGAAATCGAATTTGCCGTGGCCGCTAAAGTGAATTAAGGTGCTTGAGAATGGTTGTCCAGCAACGCCAACGGCATAGATGACCTGCCAAAGAGTTGGAAATCCGTCATTGATCAGAAGAGATATTATTTTGAAGGAATGTAGAGAGGTAGCAACTTTAGATTATTTATGTGCATCTGTTTATAGTGAAGCAATGACCCTGTGGACTGTGTATGGGGAAATTCATAAGCAAAATCATGATTGATTGAAAACGGACAAATTTATTTTGCCGAAAACAACATAATTATATACATATAAAATAATTTTCCCATAACTGGGTGAACAAATACCAGATCATTTATTTAATTATTTCACAGATAGCATCATATAATGAATAATAATGATATTTTATTGATAAGAGCAAATTAAAGGAAACCTAAAAGATTGGATTATGTATAGGATAGTTGCAGAGCTGAAGTTGTTTCTTTGTCTCTGCTGTTGAAATTATTGTAGTCATTTAATACATATCTAGCAAATGAACTTTGGACTGAATATACTTTAAAAATGAGATATTTGTTTGCTAATAAATGCAGTTTTTGTTACAAATTTGTTTGCGGTTATGAAATTCCTTTTATATAAATCTAATTAAGTTGATGGCTTTGACTGTCATATTTATGTGAATTGTTCAGGGTAGAACTTATTGGTGCACCTAAATGCAAAATGTCTCGGAGGAATTTAGTTTTCTACCATGACTATTATAAAGACATGTTACAATATATTTCTTGCAGTTTTCTAAGGGTTTTACATTTATCCGCATTAAATTCCTGGGACAAATTGGATTCCTAGTTTTGTTTCAAGCATCGTGGATGAATTTGATTATAAGATATTTCTATATCAACTTTACCATTAACATTTGTATAAGAGAGCAAGGAGCAGACCCTGAGGGACCCCAGACAAGACCTGTATATTTTTTATTTTTTGACAGTTGGCGAGAGCCTGCTGACTACAATATATAAGATTGATTTTGTTCGCAAAACAACCCAGGATTTACACCTGGTATGTATCGTTTAACGTGAAGTTTTTTTTATGATCGACTTTTTCTGGTTTGTTAGACTTTTCTAATTTCATTTTGGATTTGGCCTCTAAGCTTTTTTAAGTTGTTTAATAGACAGAGATAGTAGGTGTTAAACTGTTTAATATATATATATATATATATATATATATATATATATATATATATATATATATATATATATATATATATATATATATATATATATATATATATATATATATATATATATATATATAATTCAAATCGAATTGCATATACAAAGCAAATCACAGTCTGATTTGACGTTTGGCTTTTCATTTCTCACAATAGATGTTGGAATGGTTTACAAGGTCCACTAACCTGACTCCTTAACCTATTACCTCAATTTATGTGGACAGTAAGGTTGTTTTGGAATTAAAGTGCTACAAGCTACATATAAAAATATATATAGGACATGTACAATGCCAATAAATCAATAAATTACATGACATTATTTAACAACATCTTTAATAAGGTTGTCATTGATTCATTATTCTGTATGTTAATGTTGTTGTCAGTAAATCAAGTTTAAACGAGCCTAATCTGATGAATATGTCTTCAATTGTACCGTCCTTTGCTGTAAGCAAGTGATGATATGACACATCCTAGATAAAGCCTTGATAGATTAATTATTTGCATGTTTTTATCAAAAATGCTTCATTTTCACTCTTATTCGCAGTTAATTTGATACGGTATTGAAGAGCACATATGGTGGCTCATTTGTGTCATTCGTGTTTTCGCCCCGCGACCCCGTCAAGCGAAAAGTCGAGAATTAACAAGTTAGAATGGCGGGGGCGCGGAGCGAAAAGTCACTAATTAGCAGGGGCGCGGGGCGAAGTTTAATAAATAAAACTTTGCCCCGTGGAGCGAGATTTAAAGGCCCGGTCACACAGCCCTCCACGGGCGTATCGCGGTCGAATAACGGCCAAAATTTTCTGCCCGTGAAGGAGACGCTGTTGGACGCTTTGAGGTCGCGATAAAGACGCGATACAGCCGTACTTTACCCGTCGTTACACGCGGCAAGAAATTCACACGCGGTTGACCGCGCGAAAAAGTTTTGGGCTGCCCAAAAATTTAGACCGCGGGTAATCGCGGGCGGTACACGTGGTACACACGCGGTAAAGACGCGGTACAGACGCGGAACGAACGTGCTAGGACGTGCTTCGGCCGCGGTTAAGACGTGGTTACACGCGGTAGGACGCAAAATTTTAGCAGGTAATCGAGGATGGAGCACGGTCATAGCACGTTTGTTCCGCGTCTCTACCGCGTTGTTATCACGTGCATTAGCGTGTGTACCGCGTGTAAGCACGGACAAACGCCTTTCTCCGCGTAAACAGCGCGGCCCAATATCGGCCTAATCACGTTCAATTGCGTCTTGTACACGTCCCAAATACGATTGTCCACGGCCTAATCGCGTCCGTTCAACGTCAGATGTTAGGTATATAAAAAGCGCGATTTGCCGAGCATTCGTCAGTTGTGCTCCAGACGTCAAGGGCTGAATATGGATCCCCGTCACTGTAATGACCTCGTCTTGCTGCTCCAGCAGCATCAGAACCAAGTGGTACAGCTCCATCAGCTCCTCATTGACAGAAGAAGACGAAGGAGGAGGAGGAGGGTGGTCCGGAACATCTGGGTGCGCGACTAGATTGGCAGGAGACCTGAGCTGGGACTGTACGATCGTCTCATCGTGGAGCTCCGTAATGAAGATCCAAGGGCCTTCCAGAACTTCATGAGAATGCCACCTGCCATGTTCGATGAAATTGTGCAGAGACTGACACCAGCCCTTACCAAGGAGACCACTAAATGGCGAGCACCCCTTGATCAAGGCCTGAAGGTTACCCTCACCCTGAGGCACCTTGCTTCTGGCGCCAAGTACCGTGAGATGCAGTATGGCTGGAGGGTCCCTCACAACACCATCGGTCTGGTGTTGCGCGAAGTGTGTGCGGCAATCGTCGAGGAGTTACGTGATGAGCTGCTCGCGCCACCATAGACTGCTGCAGAGTGGCGTCAGATTTGTGACAATTGGATGAACAGTTGGAACTTTCCGCATGTCATTGGTGCAATAGACGGCAAGCACATCCACTGTGACTCCTGCCTTGGGCTTCTTGGCGGCCTCCACCGGCACTGGACTGCCTTCATGTGCTGCCTTCGCCCTCGGCTTCTTGCTCGCACGCTGCTTCTTCTTCTTGGCCGGGGAACTCGACGTGGGCTTCTTCTTCGGTGCCATAGCTTGATCTTCACGGGACTGTGTCTTGAGCGGTTTTGATTTCTTCAGCCCGGTTCGGCTGCTTTATGATACCCGTGGTAGGCCGCGGTACCGCCGCGCTTCACCCGCGATAAGGACGCGGAACAGTCGCCGGCGTCTGTTCCGCGGGAATACCACGGGTAAACCGCGGGTAAGCCAATTTTGCACATTTTCCACCATGGGCAACCGCGGGCAAAAAAAATCGCGAAATTTTACCCGCGATACAGACGCGAAAGGCTGTGTGACCGGAAATAAAACGGCGGGGACGCGAAGCGAAAACAAGCTGATGAGATTGAACGCCGCTATTCCTTATTGATCATGTTTTTCATATTTTATGCTCAAGACCAGTTGTATGTGCCGTGTGGCGGCCGTAAAAAATTCTACTGTACTTAATGCATAGTTTAAGTAATAATTACGTATCAGAAATATTGACAAAAAGCTTGTCTTACCCTATGGGATGATTAATAGAATGGTTTTTTTAGCTTTATAGACATTATATTCTCCAGTATATAATAATAATAGTTACGGCGGTGATCCAGAAATGAATAAGAGTAGCTTAATTACAAAAAAATACTATTAGTGTTATTCATACAATCTCTTCATAGTTCCCAAATATAATCTACCGCGGAGGTTAAGGTCGAATCCCATCTATTTGGCAGATCCTGAACTCCCGTTGCTTGGCAATTTTTGTTGATGTCTCTAACGACCGCGTGCACGGCGACACAATTATTGGTCATTCAACTCGTCAGATATCAGATAAAATGGTAATTTAAGTATTGGAAACAGGTCGTAGTCAGGCAGACTCAAGTTTGGAGAATATGGCGGGTTTTTAAGAACTTTCCAGTGGTACCGCTCGAACATGTTCGTAACATCGCCGGACTTGTGAGACGTGGCGGTATCATGCAAAATAAATAGCGCCTACTGTAGAAGTTACGGCGGCGGTTCGCCGGTTAAGGGTTTTTTAGTCAAGTACCACTCAAAGTATTCTTAATTAACCGTATTCCATGTGGAACTCCAAACGTGTGTTGTCCAAAAGCCTTTAATATCATAATCATAGATCATTACCATATTTGGACAGTGCATATTTCGGCGATATTTTACAGGTCTAATAAAGCGAGTTTGGGGTATGCCATTCAGAGCATTAGCGTTCCAATTCTGACTAAAATGACCAGATCAATGTTTTGTCGATAGCAATCACTCTATTCTGCACCATTTCACTCTCCTCTGAACATCTTTTCAACAATTCAGTGAAAATTTGAACACGTTTTTCATTTTGTTTGTGAGAGTGCATGCGGCACCAACCATGCGCCTATCTTTCTTATGTCTAAATTCTGCGTCAGAATAACATGAACGGAGCACTTACTTATCCCAGTTTCATAAACAATTTCCTCGTATGTAAATCATCATCGGTTTAGACTTTGAGCAACAATTATTTCGTTGTTATAAGCGTGTGTGACTGCCACCGGACTACAGGAGTGGGGTGCTTCTTTTACGACCCTTTCCGTACATTACTGAAGGTCGGAACAACATCCCAGAGCGAATTAAATATTTCAGTCGCTTTTTTCCGCGCATACTCTCTATCTTGATATATGCATACATTTATTCGCATTAATCAGATAGAAAAATCCGCAATGTTACTAGAAATAGCGGTGTTGGTAAATCTTATCTCACATGGGCTTATTTATCTATGCGTATTCATACACATACGCGATAAAGATTCGCGAATTTCACTTGAATTGATTTTCATTTAATAATTCGACACATAAAGTGGATCAGAAGATTTTTTGCGGACAGTAAAATGCTATTTGTCAACCATAGAAAGTCAGACGCCTAAGTCCAGCTCCGCCTTTCAAACTAGGATGTAATGCGCATAAAATAATCAATCATTGGGTTAGATAGAGGATAGAGAAATCCCTACCCTCGCGCAATCGGTTCCATCGGAAACTCACCAAGGCTCGTTCCCGATTGAACCGATCACCCTCGGGTTTGGATTTCCCCATCCTCTATCTGACTCCATTATCGATTCTATTATTCTCGCGTCAAGGCGACCGCTTCGTCCGTATGACTTTGTTTTAACGCATGACTTTGTTTGAAATGACGTCTTCAAAAGTGATGTTATATGATGACTTTAAAAGTTGTTTTTTGTGTATTCTCCAGGAACTCATTTGTTGGCGGAAGGATTAAAGATGTACTACTCACCAGCAGTTAGGAGTTTTTAAAGTGGTGAATTTAAAGAGTGTTACAACAGAATGAAGATTTCTGAAAAAAGTAGATGGCTAACCTATTATATTTGGGCCTAATGTTCAAGAACAGTGGAATCCAGAATTAAGCCTCAAATGTGACTGATTTACTATAGAACAAAGAATACGAAAATTCACCGGGCCGAGTCCTAATCTGAAGCCGGTGTCGACCATTATACATATATCATATTCCGTTCAATTACAGAATTCATCAAATATCTCTGCTGCACTCTTATCTTTTTGCAGTAAGCCGACCAAATCAGCCCATGTTTATACATAATGAAAAACATTTTTTCTGATCTTTCATATCTTTTATTTTGTACGGTTAAAAAAACTTGAGCCAGTGCTAGAAACATAATATAAACATAATACGAACTATAAAATTTAGTTTTCTCAAATATAGTATGTGTACATAAGAACTGTAAATCTATTAATATAAAAACATATATGAATGCGTAACCATGTTTCGTGTTCTATAAGTTGATAAGTCTATTTGATATAAATGTTATATTTACTCCATAAGCACACAATGTCTGTACATATTACAAAGGTAAAATATTTGTTTAAGACTGTCCGAGTTTGAATTAATTGCCTGTATTTAGATCAACATGTATCTTAATCATGCACATACTAGCTATTATAACATTTTGTTCCGTAAGTTCATGTCCTGCAGTTTTATCACTGACAGTTATGATGATGATACATTAATTAGTGCTGCTATTGATAGCTTTCTTCAAATAACTGTAACCAATTTAAAAAAATACATGCAACAATTTAACCCTATTAATCTTATGCCACAGACTAACACTTAAACAAATATTACATTTGCCTTAACTGATTTAAAGTAAATAATTAAATGAGTTTGTTTACGTCTTCTCTAAATCGATTAAAACTTTCTTGCAATTCAGCACGTTTCTGTATTTCTTTCAGCATCGACATTCTTTCCAAAAATCCCTCCCTTCTTTCAAGTTTCTCACTTTGTAATAACACCTCTATGTGATCTTTAATAACTATTGAATGATTTACTTGCAAACCTATTTCACCCAATATATTCGTACATGTCTGTAATTTATCTATGAGAGCGTTTGCCTCATTAAATATCTGTCTTACGTCCTTGGTAAGTTTTCCAACAATTCTTTCTTTCAAAATTAATTTGTGAGATTGTTCGAAATATTTTTGTTGCTTTTCTTGAAGGATTTTCTTCACCTTTACCGGAACAACTTCAAATATATAAGGAGTATGTGCATGTTGTTGCCAGTAACATTTGCTTGGACAAATTGTGCAGTAACCATTGTAGTTCATTACCCTACATTTAGATTTATCATCTGGAGAACAATTACAATTAACATGACAAGATATATTACAATTTAAGCAATTCGTTACATGCTGTCCCCTTGGCAAATCCCTCTTTCTTTGTTGCATTTCACTTTCATACATTTCAAAATCTTTGTTACTTTCTGCTACTGTTTTGATTTCAGCTATTTCCTTTTTAACTTGTTGCAGTTCTCCAGTTTTGCAAAGCCCATTATCGATTTTCGGTTGCAGTTGTTTTTCAATGGCATCGATCGTCAATCTGACTTTTAACACTTCTCTTGTTCTGTCGAGACTGCAAGAAGTAGAAGAATCAAGATGGTCAAAGAAAGAACGAAACCCCCTTACGCTAATTTCCCAGAACATCGGTGCTAGACTAGCAGCATCAATCTTTTTATTGTTTACATATAGCGAGCAGTTATTGAATGAAAATGTACAGCCAAATGGAAGCCTTGATTCTTTCATTCCAGCAAAAACCGGTGGATCTTTGCCATCTGCGAAAGTAATCAAAGAACATATATTGTTCTTAACGTCATTTCCAAAGATTGACAAAACCGACTGAAATATATACTGTTGATGTAAAGTTAACCTGGCGTCAGGTGCTTTAAGAACAAAACATATAGCATCTATATTTGTTAAACAATTTGTTATGTTTTCAGAGAATAACATTTGAATTTGTTCTATCATATCTTGGTCTTTCCCAACACCACGTGTATCACCAAAACCTGGCGTGTCTATAATTTGCAGCGGGTAGTGAAGGCGACTTCCTGTCTCGGGATGTAACGTGTAGATGGTTATCCAATCTTCATGACTAATGGCCTGTAGGAAATGAAAGATATTTCAACTGTTTCATAAAGAATATATACTGGTAAATGGCATTTTGTTTACAATAAAATTTTTATAAATTTTCAAAAGGGAATGTTTGGAACTAAACCATACTATAAAATGTGACGACACTGCTGTTACCAAACTGAACATAATAGGACTTCTTGATTAGAGATATACAATTATAATTAATCAAAATAGTTAATTACAATGCTAATTTCAGTCACAAAACACCAACCAATAAGATTCGGCTCAATTAACCGACGAAGAAAATGCATGAACGGCTTATACGTTATATTATATAGGTAAAGTGTGACTATATACATCATTTAGTGCACTATCATATGTATATTATATGCTATAAGAAAATCACCGAACTACAAAAGATTCATGTTTACATGACCTTGTTCATATTTCCATTAACTTTTGATGCATCATTGACAGTAAATCTAAATGGATCATTCCAATTTACTCCGAAAACATAATTAATGAAACCGTCAACTAAGGTACTTTTTCCACTTCCCGTGGCCCCAAGAAGCATTATGGTTTTATTTTCACCAATGTGTCTTGCATTCCATTCGCCTGAATTGACAAATATAAACATGTAAATGTGACAAATCAAAATGAGTGGAACTTTGAATAGGAACCAAATGTATGTTTTGTAATGATTTGGATATTTTCTTTCTATAATTTCAGGTATTTTAAAGATGTGAATTATCAGAAAGAGAAAATGTATGTGCACAACAGTACAGACAATATTCTTATAGCATGTTACATGACACATTAAGCTTAATTACCCTTTGATATATAAGTCATGCATTATATTTTATGCTCGATTTATCATTACAGTTATAAAATACATTTCATGTTTACAAACCAATATGAAATTCTCGTATATTCTTTATATCTTGTCTTGTTATTTGCGTGATTGGTACCGGCAGTATATGTGGTGATTGATCAACATTTTCAGAATTGCCTATAATATTCGCTATACGAAATGCCCGAGACTGACAGGTAGTCACTGTAGCACTTTCTGAACTGTATGTTCCCTCTCCTTCTTCATAGACAGCTCTGACACGGAACACGTAAGACGTGTTCGATTTTAACCCGTTTAATACAACACTTGATTTCTTGAATTCACCAGGAAAATATCGCCATCTCCTATCATGATCAATCTCCTTAAAGCTGATTTGATAATAACCATTTTTTCCTAATTCTAATATTGGAGGTTCCCATGTAAGTGTTACCTCATCTGAGAAGACGTTTGATAATCTGGGCCTCCCTACCTGTTTGGAATTATACAATACAGAACACTTAAAACACTAAATGCGATAGAAAACTAGCAAATGCTTAAAATACTCTAATGTTAAACGTTTTGACTTTAAACAGTAGGATTTCTAAAAACAGGAATTGGATCATCAAGTTATGTATACTGGTATACTTTACTGTCATCTTTCTTTCGTAGTTCGTTACTTTTCAGCATTTTAAACATTTTTATACTTTATCTAGATTTGTATGAAAGTTTGCACAAAGTACAACGTTTTTAGATAACAAATACTTCAAAATAACTTTTTTGAACAAATATGAAATGCAGCCTACAAGGTATATAATTTCTCTGTTCGATTAAAGTCTATGTCTTATCAATATTATATCTAATTCTAATAAAATCGTATAATAAACTGATGGTTCAAATGTTTATTTCACGCATTTTAACAGACATATTGATAAGCAAGGAATAAGATCTCAAATTATTACATTTACTAATAATGTAAATATTTAATTGATACTTGATACTTGGAGGTGTCCAAACTTTCAGATAATAACTCGTTTCTTTCCAGATTGATAACTTGTGAAAATAGGCGTTGCAACGCTTTTCATTTTATTCGTACTTAGAAAACATAAAATACGATTTTCAATGTGTTACTGAGTATATTTTCTAATTCTTTCTGTTGCTTGTCTTGCTGTTGTACGTGCCACAGATGATTTATGTAAGAAAATCAAATTTTATGGGTTTTTTTTATTTTTTTTTTGGACCGCATTGTAGTTCCTTAAATTGATTGTATCTTTGTAAATCATACATAGGACCATCATAAATGTTTCTCCTTAAATTAACACAAATATAGAAGGAATAGAGCTGTGTTCATAACAAATAAACTAATTATTACAAAACCTTTCTCGTGTCTATGAAATCAGGACGTGATATTAAGGTCGGTTTATGACGTGCTGTAGCCTTTCTTCGTACATGCCTCTCCACACATTTCAAACAGAGTCTCTCCTCACATTCAAAGCAAATGTATTCAGCATGTGCTGTCCTGTTTGATATCTGACAAGGATCACAATTGTTGGATGACTGCATTTTTCCTGTAACCTAGAAAAATAGACGGTTATCTCAAAATGTATTAAGCATGTAATATGTTGTCCCTCTTTCATTTTTAAAGAGTTCGACCCATACATTGTCTAAGTTATGAGAGTTGTTATAAATGTCCACTAGTTTATATTTCTAAATATTTTAAGCAGTATACGTGCTAAAATTCATGCAATGTCGTAAAAATAATATTATTTCCATTAAGTACCGCTACTGTCTTCTGTTTCGACAATCGTAACCTTTTTTTCTCTAGACCACGCTGCCCGATGGTTCGATGTGTCATCCTACCATCGCGCTTTCACCATCGTGCTATTGCGATTTCACCATCATGATTATACCATCTTGAAATCAGCCGTCGCGATTTCACCAGTGTACAATCGCGGTTACACCATTACCCATCCAATTTTCTAAATCGTGCTATTGAATTGAAGAATAAACAAATAAATGTTCAAATTTATGTCAGTTGTCGTACAACTGCACCATGTCATGATAAGCAAGTTCATTCCCAGTTTAAAATTATGTCTTTACCTTTTAAAATGTTTAAATAATCGGATACTTTAAGCAAGACGACGACGACACTGAAATCATAATAGCTCGACTGTTCTTTTTCCTTTGATCACATTATAATTGTATGCGTTTACCACTGACTGGTTAATGGAATGATGCGTGTTACGGTGCTTCCATCCAAGATGGGGGGAACAAAAAAAAACAAGGAGTTACCTGCCTTTTTATTATCTATGTATTTAGACAAATGGTTTATATAGTAAAAAATATAGTTGCATATAACGTAAAAATACATTCTTATAAGATCGAAATGTTTAATATTTATGTGACATATGACTTATATGAATTATTTACCAAAAGGTTTAGTGAATCAACGCACGCTTGGTCATAACAATATAAGTATAAAATCATCGTTTTTGTCAATTTGTTTCGTCGAAATCTGCCTATTTTTTGTTTCGTCTCTAAAAGTATTTTGATCACGCTAAGGCTGCGTGATAGCTGAGTGAACAATTTATAACCTTTACTGGAGGAATTTGCGAAACCGAAACTAACAATAACCAGTGTCACCTGTCTTCAAACTGGATCATCAAGATCGAATATCTAAATGAAATAACTGAATCATTTCTGGATGACAACTTAATCTTCTATTTGTCCCTATATAATCGAGTTTTTTTCTAATTTTTAAGCATGTCTGAACATATTCTTTGTATAGGTTAATGTTTGCCACAATAATCATTAACATAATTAAATTGATTAATAACGTCGAATGCTTACTATTGAATACTTATCAATTTAGTATTTGAAATCGTTTTTATAAACAATTGATTGACTACTATAGACTTTTGAATTGTCTGCGAATTATAATAGAAAATGTGTTACGATTCATTTGAAATACTGCAGTCTAGTTGAAAAAAAATTCCAAACATTAAGTACGTTTATGTTAAAAAAACTACTGCATTGTAATTATACTTCTTTTCTTGTCTGAAAGTTTGGGCATAAACATGCTGTCTAATTCTACAACACTTCGCTTTCTTTCATTTACACTATATCAGTTTTGTCGCCCATGTAATAGTGCTGGTTAAAAAAACAACAACTATAATATAAATATGGGTGTCGAAAAATATCTGTACATTTATGAAATGTCTTCTTGTTCCGTAAATATGATTATTGCTCTAAAATAAAGACAACAGTACGACTGAAAATTAAATAGACTTGACACCGTCATTTGTTTTTGAGTATTTGATCGCATTTCTCTGTCTCGTGTAAACGTGATGTAAGATCAAAGATATCAAATGTAAATAATAATTCAAATCAGAAAGTACGAAAGACATAACCACTTACGGATTGCCATTATTGAATTTCAATAATAATATTTTAGAAATACACCTTAAAACAATAAGTTAATCTCTTACTTATAATGCAATGATAACTCTCTCTCTCTCATTTTTTTTGTACATCAGAAGTCACAATGTTTTAAATGGCCGAGCTGTTACGGTGGTTTAAATATCCTATGATTCACCAATTTTCTATAAATGATTTTCGTAAAATATAAATGATCATCGTTGAATTCTTTGAAAACCTGGTTTCAGTTTCCATAACTTATGTGTTTCTTATTATAGAAACTGATGATTCATTTTATGCAGAAGTAACATCTGCAATATTAAACGTGCATGAGGGTTGTCAAAAAAGTTTGCATTAAAGTTCAATAATGAAAAATATAACGAACCATTTAAAAAATGTATTTAATATCGGAATATTTAACCACAGGGGTACGGCTCATTGAATGTTCACAAGATATGTGTTTGATAGAAGAAAACATTCATCCTTACGCCGCGTCTACACCTATCCAAGTCTTGAATGCAAGTATCATATCCTCTTGTATTGGATAATGTAGACACCCTACTTGAATGGTTTTTAAAGAGAAATTATGTGACATCCAAGAAGATAATTTCTTGCAAGAAAATTAGAACAGGTTCTATTTTTCTACAAGTTTTTGGCTGTCAAGACACTGATAACACCGGTTTGACACAAAACATGTGCCCAAATGTGTGATAGTGCTGTTAATTTTATTATTTTTTTACTTATTCAGTGTACATGACGTGTGAATTTCAGTAAAATTATTATGTTTTCAATGTATTGGTCAAAGGAACAAATCAATACGCTGATACACAGATTCAGAAGAGCAAAAATTAATTAATTAATTGATTACTTAAAAAAGAAATAAAAAAGATCTGTTTTTCAAAGAGAGTCAAAATGGATTTTAAATGATCTTGTTCATTTAGTGAATAATTTTCATCATATAAAGAATTTGCATCAAAATTTATTTTTTCTCACATTTTCCATTTTTTAAAGAATGTACGCATTTCATTTACTCCATTGTTTTAGCTAATTGCATCATTTTTCCGCTTTTTTATTCACATATTTTACAGAAAGATGATAGTATTGCAAAGACAAAGGTATAAATCCTGGACAATCTTAATGAGACATTTCAGTAAAAGTTGTGCCTGATTATTTGTTGTAAGGGCCTTTTATTTAGCTTATCTAAAATGACATGTAAGAAACTTGAATAGGTGTAGACACGGCCTTAGTCAGAAATGAATTCTAAGTCCATTCCCATTAAACAATATACCAATATATAGACAAGGGTAACAACTCCCATAGGAAGGTATATGCCCAATCCGAGTTTTCGCCTCGCAGTTTTTTTAAACCATACAGCATGGTTAAAGGTAATTATGCCATTTCCTCGTTAAAAATTCTTTAAAAGAACGCCATCGTGGCGAGTATAAATAACATCTGATTAATACATTTTTTTATACATTAACGTGCTCTTACTGCATGCATGATTAACTAAACTAGTTTCAAAAACAATAAAAGAAAATGAAGTAATATGACAATCACTAACAAATGAAATAACAATGGTTTGAGTGCATCTTTAGTCTCTTCAAATGAGATAATCAAAATTATAAAAAGCAATAGAGAAGGACGAATTGATATGTACGGTTTGCAAAGTCACGGACGTTAAATGTGGAGGCTATTTTCGAGCGGATAAACCATGCCTAATTCAAAGCGGCAATGACTTATTCAAAACGGTATTTTGGCATCAGTTACTGATATACTAGGAGGAGACAGACGGGCAAAAGTGTCCAAAAAATCATACTTTACCGATCCGATTTTTAATGCTACTATTCAACTCAGTGAGGTCGTAAATTAAAACAATTTTTGTCTCCAGTTTGAACTGCATAATAGTTACACGAATACCATTGCTAAACGGGAACACTTAATGATAATAAATGAAAAATCTGTGTCACTTGTCTGTTAACCGTTTCAAGGCCGATCGAATATTTGCGAAACCGAAACCAACCAGGAGAAAATGAAAAATTCTGTATCGTCTGCCCACTTGTTCATTTCGATTAAATTTTAAACAATGCTTAACCGAAACCAACCAGCAAGGAATAAACAATATGTCGACCTCGGTCGACACAAGGTCGACATATTTGAAATATAAAGCCTTGTTGATCATACCTATTATATACAAACTTAATCTGCCGTTTATCCTTAAAATAATATGTTTGAGCAGATATATAAATTATTACAATATATTCCATTTCGACGCGTATAATGAATATGAAGTAAAAGTTGAACATAATAGAGCAAATTCCACAACATTTTACTTTTCATTTTCATTTAAAATCATTTATGTATTAGGCTTTTTTTTTAAAAATAAAACGAGGTAATTGCTACGGCTATCGAAAACAAACTTTAAATTTATGTATTAATTATTTTATCAACATTCTGCTATCTTTTCTTTACACTGAACTTTCACCTTATTTGACACGGTCTTTTATAACCGAAAAGGTCAACATTTTGGTTATTTCTGACAAATTTTGGATAAGGACCCGAATGCACCGATCGAATACGCCTAAAGGGTATGCTACTACTGGATTTAGATAAATAGACAGGGTAAGGATTACTATACTGCATTTTTGGCGTCCGCGCCGAAGCGCGGCGCCTTTTATGTAATGAAATCAGATTTTGTGAAAGGGCGACAGCAACTTCTCGAGCCTTTTAGTCGGACATTATAAAAGCCGATCATTCCGATCGGTAAGAGGGTGCTTGATTATAATGTCGCGATATATACAATTAAATAGCGAACTGGAGAATTTCGCAATGCAAACATTTTCAAATGAAATAACCTTTTCCGTCAATAAATCGCGCTCTTCGGGGTATTTTTATTTATCATTTTGTAGTACACAGTGGGTTATTATGGTATGTTATTGTTATACATGTATCCTTAAGCTGATGACCTAAATATTCCGAAAATCTATTTATAGAGGGATGTACTCCTATCGGTAATTCCCGGTCTCGGCTGTTCTATTTTGACCGGGATTTACTAGTGACCGGCGAATAGTACCACACGTTTATTGTCCGGTCTCTCCCGGTTTTGCAGTAGATGTTTGATATCGTTACAGAACAGAACAAATATTTTACAGATAAATAAGCTTTTTTCAAAATGAATGTTTGTCACTTAGTTTGGTTACAATAATTATTAAACACAGATCAACTCTCAAATTTATTGATTATTATTATACATAAACATACAATTCGAAAAAAAAAAAAACAACAACAATTGCATGTTTTATTTTATCTATATGAGATGAAAACAATTAATATGTACAATAAAAAGGTACATTTTTATGGTATTAATATGACACTATCAACTTTGAAACATTTTATTTAATTTGTTATTCGTGTTTAGTAAAGATGCCGAGGAATTATTCAAAGTTACAAATTAGATAAGTGATTGATAATTTAAAAAATGATAAAGAAAAATACAAATGTACATGTATATGTTTTAAGAATAAACAATATTATATATTGAAAGATTAACCATAATTTACTGACTTTTTCCAGAGACATAGATATCTAAGTCTCTGCTTTTTCCAGTTAAGTTTTGACTTATAATCGTCGGTCAATATGACAATTGAATTCTTAAAATAATAGTAAACGTAAAAACTCAGTATTAAAAAAGCACATAAAACACAAAAAAGAAAAGAAAACTATATTTATAAAGTCTGTAATTTTTTTTATTAAAATAGATTTTACAATTATTGTATAATAAACAATTATGCTCAACATGATCAACATGGTAATATAACCATGATAACCAGTGTCATATTGTTAGTAAGTGTGAACAGATACCTTTAGAGGGGTCTTCGCTAATAGCGATAACATAATAACAATTACACAAGTGTGGTGTTGATCATGCGTTACACATATGGATTATAAATGATTGTATACATGTAAATCCGTTGCTCATAAAGAAATTACAAGTAATATTCTAATCTCTAGCATGCCAATCAAAGTTAATAATGAACAATGTCTTTCGTCCGTTCATTCATAAGTGGTAAAAACCAATTATTCATTGAAAAGTTTATAAGAATATCTTGTCATCATATATCTACTAGTTTATCTTCACCTGCTGCATTTCTTGCTTGGACGCCCTTTGATGCTTTGCATCAATGCTTTTCTTGTTTTGCTATTAGAATAGAATTACAGGAGCATTTCAAGCTAGAATTTTCGAGCTCGTTTTCGAGTACTAGTAACCCATTTTCCAAGTACAGACAGTTGCGTATTTCGGATATTTTTGGAAGTGACTTATATTTCTCCTTTTAGTGTACATGACTTCCTTTTCAGCGATTGAAGTGATTTCAGCAAATTTCAAGAATGAGTAAATAGCAGCTTATTTTTTACTCAACTATTTATTAAAAAATGATTTTTTAGATAAGTCTTAATCTGAATAAACGACAGACAAATATAAATCCAGTTCCATAAATATTTGTCATCATGACAAAAGATAAAATGGAAAACAATCATAAACCAATTATTATAGTAAATGGATGTTCTTAAGATTGATATTTAAGTTATCTCCCCTTAGAATGAATAGCAAGTTATGTAAGTCCCGACCATGAGCTTATGAGCTTGTAATACAAATTATGACATGATTCTCTCGAATAGGTATTTCTTTTATTATAATCTAAGATTATACAAAGTTTAAATCACTTCTAATTGTTTTCAAATAGCCTATATATGTAAGTTCAGTAGATACATTTATCAAATTAAACATGTAAACGAGTCACCAGGTAGAAATAATTTAAATGAGTGATGATGCATCTTGCCGATTTCCATAATCATTCTTATCCGACGTGACCAAACTAAAACGCGATTAATAAGCCTAAATATAACTTACAAATTAACTGTTTTCTGAAAATGAAAATATTGAACGTCCTAGTTGAGTTCGTGCACAATCTGCTTTCAGTTTCGAAAGGATAAAGTACTTCGCAGAAATAGAATGATTCATTTTACATCGAACAAATGTATATATGCCCGCGACACACCATATAAAGAGCAGGCGTCTACATAAGAAACAATAGTTGCATTACCATTGCGCAAGTGATAATTTGTTTGCAGGATAAAGGGATATTCAGATCTGTATGTTTTGTTAATCTCCTTGTTGCTTACACAGTTTGAATGAAATGTTTTGATATATAAATCTTTATATGATATTTCTTTTTAATTTTTAAAAATAACTTAAATATAAAAATTTAACGGTAGTAGTATGCAGATATTAATCATTGCTTTGAAAATATTAAAATAATCATCGATTTGTTGACAGTTCTGATTTTTTACATTTAATAATGTAATAGATATTCATTTTCACGGCTACGGATATCGAAAACAAGATTTATAGATATCAATTCATTTATTTATAAACATTCTGCTATTTTTTCTTAGACTAAATCTAGTAATAATATCCAAAGCAGATATTTCAAACGCGAGCAGGTGACAACAATCATGTCAATGTTCTCTCGGTTAAAATGTTTATTTTATCATATTTTAAAATTGTTAAAAGAAATTGCATCTGCCATTGATGTGCTTTATAAGACCGGAATATAACACAATTGATCTGTCTTATCAGTAGCCAATTTGCCTTTTTCTGAAAATGAAAATATTGAATGTCCTTGACGAGTTCGTCCAAAACCTGGTTTCAGTTTCGAGCTGTAATGATTCATTTACATAGAAAAACACTTAATGTATCTCAATCATTGAAGAACAAAATTTCTAGTTCGGAGATAATTTATCTAATTATGTCATTCACTGTAAAATTGTTTCAAGTGTTCTTATTTTTAAAAGGCACATGTTTGAGAACTTGTACATCGTGTCCAGGTCATGATCAGACGTTTACATTAAACAAGCCAGTAATATTACAAAGTGCGCAAACGATAATGTGTTTATAGGATAAAAAGAGCTGTCAGGTCTGTAAGTGTTTTTTTTAATAACTTAGTTGCTTACACAGTTTGAATAAAATGTTCTGATATATAAATCCAGACTCTAAATGGGAAATATAAATATGAAAGTGACCTAAAATGCTGTATTGTTTATCTTAATAAAGTTATTAATGCATCAACCTTTCACAGAAGTAGACTGTAGATATTAATTATTGCTTTGAAAAAATATAATTAAATCTGAATAAGAACACAAATTTCTTGACGGTGCCAATTTCTAATATTAGTTTTAATAAATTTTTATTTACATATTCCACAATTTGCTTGTTGAAGCACGAAATGGTCATACAAATACTGTTGTTGCGTGACATGTGTAAAGGCACTTAATATCATGATACTATGTAAATGATGATTTCGTTTAGGGTATAGATATGGCAGAAAAAACGGAGATGGAAGTTTCATCATGTGTTCAAGACGAATCTATCACAGAGCCTCCTCTTCATGGATTGAACGAAACAGACCAATGCCATCCATGCAAACTTATGAGTAAATTAGTTTGTGCAAGCAAGTATTGCGATGAATGTGAAGAACTGTTGTGCGAAGAGTGTGTGACTAACCATGCAAAAAGAAAAGCCACATCGTCACACAAACCGGTACCAATTGACAAAGAGAAGAGTGTTATTCCATGCAGTCCGTGTACAGATGACGGTAACATGGTACAGGCAACCACTTACTGTGAAGAATGCGAGGAATACCTTTGCAATGACTGCACACTTTCTCATGGGAAGAGAAAAGCAACAAAGACACACAAACCAATAGAAATCAATAGAAAAGATTTAGATGATAAGCTTTTAAACAAAGATGAAACAATTCCATTATGCGAACCGTGCAAGGATAATGACAAAGAAACACGTTCCCTTAATTATTGCAAAGATTGTGACGAATACCTTTGCGAACCATGCACAAAAAGTCACATGAAAAGAAAGGCTACACAGACCCATCATCCGGTACCAGTTTCCGTGCTAAAAATGGGGGAGAAGGAAAAAGATTTTCAAAAAAGAAAGATGTGCGATCCATGTAAGTTTCAAGAAATTAAAAAAGAGGCAAAATCTTTTTGTGATGAATGCGAGGAGTTGCTTTGTGCTGATTGTACGAACAAACATCGGTCGAAAAAGATCACAAAATCGCATGCACTTGAAAACCCTGATTGTGTGGAATATATCATCATCGAATGCGAAATATGCGAAATAAAAGATAAAGAAGCTGCCATGTTTTGTAATACATGTGAAGAAGCTCTCTGCGAAACATGTGGTCAGAGACATAAAAAGCAAAATGCGACTAAATCCCATTCTATTGAGGCAATACAAGGCAGGAAGCTTCAAAGAATAGTAAAATGTGACTCCTGTATCGAAGATATAGTAAAGGCAGAAAAGTATTGTACAGAATGCAAAGAGCATTTCTGTTGCACTTGTGTACGCGTTCATCAAAAACAAAAGAAGACAAAAGAACACACACTCATAAGTCCTGTTTCAGCCACAAAAAACAAAGGAGCCCAATTAAAAGCAGTTGCTATTTGTAAGGGATGTAGCAAAAGTAAAATCCTAGCGAAATATTGTAACGAATGTCAGCTTTGTATGTGCGAGGATTGCTGCGAAATACACAGGCGTAGTAAGTTTACCAGATCCCACATGCTCCTGGAACGTGATGAGATTGAAGATGTAAACAAACAAGATTGTGACTCCTGTATGTCACCTGGATCAGCAGATTCATACTGCGAGCGATGTGGTGAATTCTTTTGTACAATTTGCAATAAGCAGCACCAAAGTTTAAAGGAAACAAGAGATCACGAAGTAGTTTCAGTTCAGGATGGTTTACTTAAAAGGAAAGCTCTTAAACAAGGCATTAGTGAAACCATGCAATTACGGTATGTTTCCAAATGTATTTCTATCTATTTCAGTTTTATATTATTGTTGTTGTTGTTGTACTCATACGAAGAACAAACATTTGCTGTTCTAGTCAAACGAACTATTGCAGAAGAAATACCGAACATTATCTTTCCTAATGTACTCTCCATGTATTACAAGCTTGCAAATAAATGAGAATTTTTTTGAAAGTAAATACTTAGAAAAAAAGAATGAAAAGATTATTCATAATTAAGCGTGATAATCTTTGTTACTAATGATTGAATTGTGTATGCTTTTTTGTTTCCAGACAAGAAGGAGGAACACCAGATAAAAAAATTGAAAACGAAATTCAATTTACCAAACAGGTGAGAAAATCAGATATATAGAATAAAATTAATTCATTACTTTTATCATCATAATAAACAATGACTGCTTGTACAAATATTCAGGCATAAGTAAATGAGATACAATTTTGCCTATTATTTAGACAATAATAATTCTTATTTTGATTTAAATTTGCAGAATTGCCCAGGAAAACCAAGATCGTCAGATGTACTAGCAGATACAATAACGCTGACATGGGATCCTCCGCCAAAATTTGGGGATGATGACTATTATCAAATCAGTTATAAAGAAATTGATCATGACAAAAAATGGAAGTTTTTTTACGGCGAATTTAGGTCATCAACTGTCGTTCTTAGCGATTTAAAGTCAAATACAGCGTTTATATTCCGGGTTCGTGTAGTCTATGAGGATGGTGAAGGCTCTTACAGCGAGGAAAGTGATGAAATATCTACATCATCATCTCCAGCTTCAAGAATCGTACAAGCTTCTATTTTGAAAGAAAAGGGAACTCCGTCACCTTCAAAGTATGCGTTGCCCATTACTGAAATAAGGCAAGCCAGGAATGAAAGAGCAAAGACAAAAAAATTCGAGCTCGGTATAATGTTTTCTGATTTGTTTTTTAATTAAAAGTGAAGATGTTGAAACTCTTGTAGCAATATTTAATAAATATCATAAATGGAGAAAATTTACGTTCATGCAATGCTTATGCCATCGTCAAAAGTGTCTGGCATGTATTACAAACAACACATAATAAAATGTTCTGTTGGTGTGTATTGTAGAGCATCATAATTGAACCCTTTAATTGAACATTCTACATACACATTCATCTAGATGATTTATTTTGTGTCAAATAAGAAAGAGAAGTTTGTTATACACTTTCTTCTTTCTTGCACTGTACAAAAACATGTATGTCTTAAATAAGCAAATCAGCTGTTTATAAGGTACATGTTTGTGTCTTACAGCGGAATATTTTTTTAACATTTTCTCTCCTTAAAAAGATTTTAATATTTTACGTAATTATATTGAAGCAATACTTTTTAAATATTATCATTTTGATTAACGTTTGTCATTTATAATAGGTGCTCCACCACCATTGCAAAGTGAAAAATCAAAGACAATTATGCTGGTAGGTGCCACTGGCACGGGAAAGAGCACATTAGTGGATGGAATGGTAAACTATGTATTAGGTACAAATTGGGATGATCCTTTCAGATTTACGGTAATCGATTTAGAGCAAGAGGAAAAAGACAGAGAAAAAAATCAAGTAAGTTTTTATGATGCTCTTCGATTAGTTTTTTATTCGCATCACCATAAATGGTGTTAATATGATTTTCTTAATTATACTCATAAAGTCAATGTATCAAGATGTACGAATATAAATCATATTGTACGAATATAAATCATATTGATGTTTTTCTTTACTTTAAGGCACTCAGTCAGACAGAATGGATTACATGTTACACACTTAATCCTGAAGAGGGAAGCCGTCTAAAATATCCATTACACATCATAGATACCCCAGGTTTTGGAGATACAAGAGGTCTGAAAAGAGATCAGGAAATTGTACAACAAATCAGAGAACTATTTTCAGAAAAAGAGCCAAAGGGTGTAACATTCATAGATGCAGTCTGTTTTCTTATAAAAGCCCCAGATGCTCGTCTCACAGCTATCCAAAGCTATATTTTCCAATCGATAATGTCACTTTTTGGCAAAGATATTGAAAAGAACATTTGTTCTCTTGTAACATTTGCTGACGGTATTGACCCACCTGTTCTAGCTGCTTTGAAACAATCGGGATTGCCTTTTGGTAAGAGTTTCACATTCAATAACTCGGGTCTTTTTGCCAAGAATTCTGAAATCAGTACTTCTAGCTTATCCCCGATGTTTTGGGACATGGGAGTAAAAAGTTTTCGAGCTTTTTTTAATCACCTGGAGCAGGTAGAAACAAAAAGTCTCCAATTGACTAAAGATGTTCTTGATGAACGTTCACGACTGGAAGCGACAATTAAAAACTTGCAACCACAACTTGACGCTGGGCTTACCAAAGTTAATGGTATGAAGCAGGAGATACAGATTATTGAGCAAAACAAATCGGCGATAAAAGATAACAAAAATTTCGAATATGAGGTTGAAGAAACACAACAAAAGAAGAAAGAGTTACCCCGTGGCCAGCATGTAACCAACTGTACCCATTGTCATTTTACTTGTCATGATAATTGTGCATATGGTAACGACGACGACAAGCGCTACTGTGGTGCAATGGGAGGCGACGGAAATTGTAGGTATTGTCCAGACAAATGCCACTGGACAAAACATGCTAACACACCGTATATATTTGAGTATGTTTCTGTCAAAATAAAGAAAACATATGCAGATATGCAACAGAAATATAAAGAGGCCACAGGAAAACTTCTGTCACAAGAACAAATAGTAGAAAAGCTTGGAGAAGAACTAAATGACTTACTAGACGATATTGAAGATATGATGGTTGCCATAAAAATGTGCAATGAGCGGTTGAAGGAAATTGCACTGAGACCAAACCCATTAACAATGACAGAGCATATTGATTTGATGATAGAAAACGAGAAGCTTGAAAAGAAAGATGGATTCATGCAGCGGATAAATATCCTAAATGACTTCAGGAAAAGGGCTCAGATTTCTGTTGATGTAGAAAACTTTAGCAAAGATGCTCTGTCGACTCTAGGAGCTGTTGGAAAGAAGAGGGACCGGGACACAAAATCGCTGTTAACAAGGTTCGGGGCATGGCTTTCGAATAAGTTACCGTAGACAATAATATCAAATATTTAATCAAACACATAATTGTATAGAATGCAATAGTAAATAGCATAATGGTTTTTTATGTCTTCTTATACGATGATGAGACATTAGTTAAATATTCCTAACGTCTTATCCAAAAGTTTATAAAAAAACACTATCAATATCAATAACAACACATATCGGTTTATAACACTCTGCACTACGATTCAGTATAATATTTAGATTCAAGAAGATGACTGGCTCAACTGGGAACGAGCCTTGGCCGAATAAGACTCATCAAAGCGTGAAAGTTATTATCAAGTAATTTCGGCTCCTTGGAAACTCTCATATTTCAATACATTTGGTCCTACTATAGTATCATTGTTATTAACAGAGTGGTTTTCGCGTTTTTGTAGGAACACTTTAAGAAGTGTTGCACGTGGGTTGTGAGATAAGCCCATGTGAGATAAGATTTTCGAACACCACTATTTTTAGTACTATGAATAAATTTTTAATGAATGATAATATTATGTTCTAAAACAATTTACTATCTGCTAATAAATATATATAATATCGGATTATGTATCTCACACTTGCCAACAACATCCAATAAGCTGTTTTTTATATTCATCGATATGCGTCATGCTGATGACAACGTTTAATTTATCAGTTATCAACAAGTTCTATATGTAATTCTCATGCGATGCATGTTGGTAGTCATTTATGGAAAGAGCTTATACTATATGGCGTCTATCTTAACACGTTTCGTAAAAAACAAGTTAAGGGTTGTCCATGGCAATGTTGTTAAGGTCATGAAAGGAAACTTTCTTGCTCACTAACACAACGTTGGTGGTTCAATTTTGGTGTCCATTCTTGCCTAAAACAATACACGGATGGGCAGCTGAGGTATTCCTTCACCAGTAGTATCAATACCGTTTATCCTGTAAATTTTAGAGCTTAAAAAGTATAGAATTAAAAGTTATTTTTTCTCATACTGTATATATGGTGTATATTTAAATTTGATCTATTTTAGTTTCGTGAAGAAATATCAAGATTGATTTTGTACCATATTTGATTTAATAATTGTATATGAAATTGCGTTGCATATTCGCTTATTCCAATCACAGTTATAACAAGTATATAACCAGAAAATAATCGGACATTGTACATTTATTTATATTCTTCATTCTCGCACGATGTATATTTGTATTTCATGACTTTATCCATGAAATATCTCCACGCTTATGACAGGATTAAACTGTAAAAGTTAGAAGGAAATGGTGTTTAGAAATGTTAAAATTAAATAAATATGTATATATTTACTTAAGATCTACAAAAGTGAAAAAAGTCCTATTTTTAGTTTTACTCATTTAATGTTTAAAGATTTTGTTGATTTTACTATTAGTTAAGTGTTAAGTTTGTCTAGTTTTTATTCAGATATTTTACAAATTACATAAATAATTGTTTCAACGTTAATATGTATATTTTTCTTTGATATAGTTATATTACATAAAATTGTTTTGTGTTTTGCTTCCATTGCGTGAAATTGCTTTATATGATTTATTTTTGTAAAAAAAAAACATTCATACATCACATACTTCATTTTATTGTCAATATTGTCATTTTGCAGATTGAAGAGTTATCTTCTATCATATGGCTATACATGTATATTCATTCCTTGTATAACAATGTATATTTCTTTCAAGATTTTGTAAATGCTGTTGTGAAGTGTGTAATGTGAGATTCTATGACTCACATATGTACGTCTGATAAAAAATATAGTGTATTGATGATATTAATGTTAATAATATCGCATATTTATGTACATACAATATTGTTATGAAATGTAATTGATAATAAACGTTTAGTGTTTAATTTTAATATCAAGTGGTTAATTTTGTCACAAACTCAATACTATGATTTGAATAGTAATGATTTAACAGAGTATACATCATGTTGCAGCAAAAAATGGAACAATTTAAATATCATTTACAGTAAAAGAAACATAAGCAACGATATGTAATCATGTGTTCGTGTGTAGAAGATTCAAACAATTGTTGCATTTCAAGAAGAGGACAAAGGCAAAAAATCTATTTGCTCTATGTACAGTGTATTTTTTTATATATTAATTATTCTAAGAACACGTTACAATGTCACACTGTGTAAACTTATTATCTACACAATAGTTAAACAAATTCACAGGGATTAAATATCGACTTTACATGTATTGACCTCTGTCATTCTGTTCCAACACGAGTAAGTTTTTATTTGCATGCGACTTATTTAACAATTTTTATTGATCGTAATATTATAGCCATATTAAATAGCAATAGTTCATGTCATTGTTATGTTGTTTTTTCCTTTCCCGAAAAATTAAAGTCGAGAGAAAGTTTATCCGAGAAAAAACGCTGAGACAGATAGCTATCTCCGCTTTGTGCATTTCACTATTAGATGGTAAATATAAGTGCCGATTTCTCTTTCTTATATATGCTACTTTCGCTAAGCTTTTATTAACGCCAATCTATGGAACAAAACTATGTTCATCCGTAATTTGCGATTAAATGATATCGTTTATGAGCACTGACCACTGCTCTTTGAAATTATATAGAAAATTCAATATACGTGTTTCATAATATTTCCCGTCGAAAAAGAATACGTTGTTGTTCAAAATAAGTTGTAACGAGTTTTTATAAAACTATGCTGAAATCATTTGTCTATCTTAATGGGTATCTTTTCCCTCTAGAACGTCACTGATTTTCGTTCGTTATCGTGATTAATATTGGAATATAAATTAACTGCATTAAAATAACCTATTTTAGACTCATGATCTTCGATGTGTTCTGGTATATCAGTAAATCTTAAACAAGAAACACATTTACATAGAGGTTTAAGAATTATGTCTTATAGACGGCTGAGTCTTTGTGATATACTACTAGGCCCTATTTTACCATTTTATTCAGTAAAAAGGCGCAGATATGAGTACTATTATCGCTGCAATTTCTGCTACCGTAGTCTTAAGATATTTAGAGGAAACTTTTTATGACAGAATGCAATGAAAATACAACTTTGAATTTCCAAACAGCGATATTATTGAGCGATAAAATCACAGTTTGGGATATATTATTTCTTAAACAAAAAAGTAATAGAATAAAGAACGTATTGCAAAATAAAAAACAGTAAAACAACAGTCAAAAATATAAAATAAACATGATTTTGTCTTCATCTAGATTTGATATAAAAGTAGACACCCCGTTGCTTACAAAATGTAACAGAAGCAGATGTAAGACATATTCATCAATGATAGAAGGAAATATAATTCAGTTCACAGACGGTAAAAATATTACAGTAAAGCAACTTATGAACTGTGTAACTAAACGTGTTATATATAGTATTATATGTCCAAAGTATCAAGAATTTTATATCGGGCAAACAAGAAAAAAAGTCAAGTTTGATAGTGAATTTGCATAGACAACAAACTGATATAAAGGCATATCAACATCTACATAAGCGTTAGTTACTTGTGCAATTTTCTGCAAAGTAACAAAAATGACATATGTCATGTCTTGATAGAAAAAAATCTAGATTACTTGAACAGTGTACATACTGGAAATTCAAGCTATTATCCTGATTTTCTTCTCCGTTCGAAAAGATATGATGGCAACGGCAGCATTGCTCTGTTTTGGAAAAAAGAGATTAATGAGCGCGTTTTACCTGTTTAACTAAGCATGTATCAGATTATTGATTTTCAACTACTTGAACGTTTAGGTATATATTTTTATATTATGCCAATATATGTTCTATGTAAAGAACCATTGTAGTTAGATAGACAAGGACTATTTAGATTATATAGAAAAGAATTTATGTACATTTCTTGATAAACTCACTAGACTTTTACACAGAAGTTCTTACCCATCGAGACAGCACACAAATTATGCTAGACTCCAGAGGCAAATTATAAACTATAAGTCGTGAACGTACTTAATATGAACTCTTTGTATACATAAGGCATTTCTCAGGGTCAAGTTTTCTGTAATGGGCCTTATAATATTTCTAGAAATACTCTTATAGATCATGCGTTTGTCCTCACTATATACTGAAAATATAAAATATTGCAAAATATTAGCGGACAATGCATTTAATGTATCTACTCATAGACCTATCATTTTCTAGAAAAAAACTCTTAATATATAGGAAATATTTGTCAAACTGACACAAATCATAAAAAATGTTATTAATTTCCACAACGTGAAAGACTCTGACATATCATATGATATGTATGGAGAAAAAAGTTACTTGTTGAAAACCACTCTCGACGTACCAATATAAGACAGTTGTGGTATAGATGACCTATATTTTTCCATAGTGTTAATCATTGATATCACGACAGATCTTAATATACCAAAAGTACGTTATAAACAATATAATTATACAACTATACTGAAATAACCCCGTGTCACAGCTACATTGGGATATGAAAGGTAAGAGATTTGTATAGATAAACAACCACAAACCTCGTGAAAATTACTTTTATCACTTTAAGTCATGCAAACATGCAAACAAAATATTCGAGCAGTGCATGGAACAGCAGTCCAGTCGTTTATCAATAAACAAGAAGAAGACATTGATTAAGCTGCTGGATAAATTCTGAATTCAGAAAATTCATAAATAAAAGACGCAATAAGCAAAACAACGACCTGGCCTTTGAAATGTAATTTGATGGTATTATTGTGACTGCCTCGGTGGCCATTATTTCGAACTTGAAACTCTATTTTAGTGATCTATACATACCAAGTTCCCGTCCATAATTTAAAGTAAGCTAAAGCACTAAAATACTGACAAAGCTCGGTGACATAAACAGTAACATTAGTGCAATAAATTTTCGGAATTTTATTATATCAGAAAACATGAAAGGAGAAGCGTTGAAAAGCTGTAAAACACGCAAAGCTTGTGTCGTAGATAAATTGTACTATACACATTGTATGCACGGCTGTTCGGTTATTAATCAAAGTGATAAGTAAACTCGTTAACTAAATAATGAACTCATAACAAGCTCCAGTTTATACGAAAAGGGGTGTCAACGCTGTTTTGTCCAAGGGAGGTAACAAGAAAAAGACAAGCCCAAAATAATTAAAGAGCATTTACATTATGATCAAACCTACTTAAATTGTATAGGCAAATTGTACCAGTGTTTGTTCAGAATGGAGGAGCAGCAGTTCCAGCTTCTCCAAATTCAGAGCAGAAAGAAAATCAAAAATAAAGTACCGTAATTTAACAATTGTATTTTTTTAAAGACAAAGTGTTCAACGATTCAAAACATATTTCTTAGATGCAATACAGGTCATCTTGGACAACCCTTTCACTTGTTGAATTATACAAATCTTTTATTAACGTAACGATTTACAAAACTATCAATCTCGTATTTTCCGAAGATTGTTTTGGCTGCGTATAAACACATCACATCAAAATACAACAGGACATTCGCCAATGCCAATGTACCAGTCATCACCTATATTTTGTTTTTATTAATGATTAAATGAATCAATTAGAGAGTTTAAACAAAATAATATGATCAATAGTGATACTGTTAAATGTTAAAAATGGTTGAGAATTTAAGTCTGTGTTATTAAAATGCAACAAAACAACATTGTTTTACAATTCATCGAAATGTAAAGTAGTAGTCTTTAATGAATTTTTTTCATTTTACAGAAAATGGTCAATTATCAATTAAGGATGTCAAACGACTAGAAAATATAAAAAGCTTCAATGCAATAACTTACGAAAAGCTATGACAACAGCCTTAAGCAATTAACAATAAAGTGTACGAACTTTATGTCCTCCCTAAATACATAGACTGATGGGAGTAATGGATCGGTATTACAGAAAACAAGCTTATAAGCGCTATCTAGAGCTAGCACACAAGCAGTGTATACATCAAAACTATCTAGTCAGTAATACAGATACAAATTTAAAGCTCTTTAGGGATTGTAATAGATCAAAGAACACTTATATTTTTGTCTCAACTCTGTCAAGTGAATACAATATTAAAGGTAAAAGAGATGTTTATTAATATATATGTATTTTGAAGCACCTTTCAAACCTCAAGACTATTTTTCAGATATATTTAGGTCCTTGGCAAATATTATCTCTCAAAAGGTTTGTTAGAATTTTATAAAAAAAAATAAAAACGCGTTGAAAAGAATAGTCAAAAGAGTCATCCATAAAATAGTGGGAAGAGCATTGTCTGCAAGGACAGCTAACGATAGTACAACAAAAAGTATATATCAATACATTCAAAACATGAACCTAGTAGCCACTTGATATTTTCTCGAAAAATACACAAATAATTCAGTACAGTGTTTTCGGCATTTAAATTGGTGTGGCTTTTTTCACAAGACAATGCGACAAATGACCATACGACAAAACATGCTTTAAGTGCAAGCTAGTTGTTAAAAGCTACGCAACGCGTGCTGTATTTTACTTTGGAAATTACGAGAACAAAATATACCAATTATGAGTAAAACTATATGAATGACTTGGAATAAATAATAATATAAAGTTGTTTACGTGTAGCGCAGACAATCAGTTACTTGCAATGTTCAGAGGCTTTTGATTTCTTTAATGTGGTTGATGAAAGAATTATTAAATCTTACAACTCCTTTATGAAATTCACAGATACACTATTTAATCGATCTACCATATAATGATATTTATTTTGACTTTATTCAAATGTTCAATATATATATATTTACATGCGTGTAAAATATTTTTATACATATCTGTCTATACTAATATTTCTATAATGTCACTAGATATTTTGTGGTCATATTCTATTAGTTCATAAATATTTCATCGTTTTACGTAATCATTCGGTATATGTACACACATTAAACCATGCATCATCAAATATGCCGTCTATCTTTACATCAAGGGGAGCTGATTCCGCCGAGTTTTTTTTCATATTCCATAACATGCCATACCATACCATACCATACCATACCATACCGTCAAGTATCAAGTTACTGGAATACCAATAATTAATATTTTAAACTTGTCAAGTATCAAGTTTACTATTAAAGCGACATTCAATGTACTGCTCATATTTTCATAGTCAAGTTGAGCTGAACTGACTATATGTTTCAAAATATTGACTGTTAAAATGGTCATTATTGGCCAATAGATCATATTAGAAAATGTTTAAGATAAAATTTAAATATGCCTAATTCATAAAAAGTCTGCCCCACTCTTTTTATGAACTGAACGTTACAGATAAATTCTAAAGGAAATTTACGAAAAAATCATTTGGATCCATGCGCTGTTTACAGTTAATGTGAAATATT